TGCAGACGAAAGCCAATTGAGCAATGGCTTTCTTGATACGGCGATTGATTGGATACAGCAATGAAGGGAATTCGTTTGAAAGATCTGCCCACCTTCTTATGGACCACCGATAGTGATGATACAATGTTCAACTATATATAATCTATAAGCAGTTAACATTGCTATGAAAGCTCAAGGTGTAATCCTCAACACATTTGATGAACTGGAGCAAGAAGTCTTGGACGTGATCAAAACCAGGTTTCCCAACCTCTACACCATTGGTCCGCTTTCACTGCTTCAACATCACCCCTCCACGATTATTTACTTGGACTTGATCAAAGCCAATTTGTGGACAGAAGACGAGAAATGTTTGGATTGGTTAGACAAAAGATCGCGACAATTTGTGGTTTATGTGAACTATGGAAGCCTAGTGATCATGACAAAGGAACAATTAGCCGAGTTTGCATAGGGGCTTGCTAACAGCAAGTATCCATTTCTATGGGTGATAAGGCCAAATCTGGTAGATGGTGGGGAAGAGATCATATCAAGCTTGAATTTCATGGAGGAAACAAAGGATAGAGCTTTGTTTTTGGAGTGGGGTCCACAGGAGAAAATGCTCAGCCACCCTTCAATTAGAGGGTTTCTAACACATTGTGGTTAGAATTCCACATTGGAAAACATTTGTGAGGGAGTGCCCTTAATTTGTTGGCCTTTTTTTTGCAGAACAACAAACCAACTGCTTTTACTTGTGTAATAAGTGGGGGTTTGGGATGGAGATTGACACACAGGTTGAGAGGGACAAGGTTGAAAAGCTTGTGAGGGAATTGATGGAGGGTGACAAAGGGAAGGAGATGAGGGAAAAGAGTAGGGAATGGAAAAAGAAAGCAGAAGCAGCTACGACACTTGGTGGGTCTTCTTACACTAACTTGATGTGTTGATTAAGCAGCTCAAACAGTAGCATTTGTTGGCTTAATGAATGTCTAACGAACATTCTTGTAAAGATTGCTAAGACGAAAAAATCTCAAACTATCTTAGTCAAAATTTTACTTTGAGTCCCCGCATTGATGTTAATTAATTTAGGAGGAAGTTTTGAGCTTAGTAGTATCTAATTGTGAGGCTTTGAAGCCTAGAAATTAAGGTAGAAAAATAGAGCCTATCCTTGAACCTTGAGAGTTTTCCATGGCTAAACTTTCTCGCTTGGAAATACTTAATCCTTTACTGTAGGCAACTCGACCACCATGATTAATATGGACGAAGGCAATGCTCGTGTTCTTTGGCACAATGCTTTAGAATGTTGACACAGAAATTGACGTTATACTTTAGGTGGCAGAAAGTCCATAGAAAGTCTGACTTTGAGAGAGTCTCCTTAGCATTTATCATCAAAAAAACAACACACCAATTAGTAATGAAGGTTCTTTTCCAGTTATAGTGTCTATATACAGTCGAGATGAGATCTGCATCCTTTTTAGTACTGCACTGTAATCTTTCCGCAAACGGTTGCAAATGTAGGCCTTTAAAGTTGGCCATGCCATCACCTTGTTGTGACAAATATCAACAAATATACATGATTATTGCAGTCATGTTGTCCTAAAGGTGTCCTAACTATTCACTTTACCAACTATATCATTGTTGCATGCCTTGAGAAAATGACAGAAGCTAATCAAATCTCTAATAATAATAATAATAATAATAATCAATTTATGTAATCTCTCAAAATTCAATAAAAATAAATGTTTCATGTTTTGCATGATAATCAATTGCCATAAACGAAGAAATCAGAGAATGAGAAAATAGTTTTTTTTCTAGTAAATAAAACAAGTGTAAATTGAGAAATTATTCAAACTTTTGCTGCTTAGTATTACAATTTAGTGGTATTTTTTTCGTGAGTGGTCTTATGTTCAAATATCATGAATAACAAGTTCGATATCAATTGCTTCTCCCACCCTTAAGTCCAAATAACTATCCAACCTTTGGGGGTGGTTCCAAATTGGTCCTAACCTTTTAAAACATTTCAAATAACTACTTAACATTTTGAAAATTGCATACATGTTAGGTTCACTTGTGAAACCCCACCCCAAAGTTAATTGTAATTTCACATTTTTAAATTGATGAAATTACCTTTTTGTCCCCTATCCTTTACCCAATCCGGATTCCCTTTTGGATTTTCTCCTAACACTCTCTCTTTTTGATTGCCACATGGCAGCTCCTTCACCCCTCTTTCTTTTTCTCTTTCTCTCTTCTCCCTTAAGTCACTCTCTCAGCTCGCACTCTCTTCCTCTCGTAGACTTCCCTCCCTCAACTTTCACTGTCTCTCTCTCTCTTTCCCCAAGGACACACTCACCACCACCTACACTTCGTGCTCTCTTTCGTGAAACACTGAGCACACCCATCAGAGCTTAGTGCACCTAACTCTCTCCGTGAGTTCGACGACTTAGGGTTTAAGCCCATTTCCCGACCACGGCAAAGGACCACGAAGGTAAGAATCTCTCCCTCTCTTCTCTACCTTCATTTTAATAGGTAGATCATAGGGTAAGGTGGTGAATCGGCGTTGACCGAAACTCGAAAGGCTCCGACCTTCTTCCTCGTCGAAAAACGGGTCAGCTAATTCAAACCTAAAAGCCTAGGTCCTCTAGCCCAGAGTTTTGGGCTGGGCAAGCCCATCCCATTTATTAGCCCAAACCCAAACCCTATTTAACCAATACCCTTGGGCCATCCAACTCGGGCGTTAAGCCCGTTAAACCCTCAACTTAAAACCCAAATGAACCCCAAGCTTTTAGGCCGTGCAAGCTTGGGCCTACGGCCCAAGGAACCCAAGCCCAGGACCCTAGCCTCAGCCCAGAACCCCATACCCAAGCCCAAACCCAATCCAACCCATAACCCAGGCTACGCTTGGGTTGCGCATGAAAGGTTGCCGATGTCGACGCGTGGAGCACACGCGCTGCCATGGAGCCGTCCACGGCGGCTCTAGCTACTTTTCCGGCCAACTTTCGAGCAACCCACAGAGGTATGTGGCTATCGGAGCCTCCGGGGGGGGGTACCTGAAGTCCCCTCTTATGTTTTTCGACGTCCTGAATCCATTTATGACATCCACTTTCCGAAATTCAATCGTTATGGTAGAGTTTTATTAATTGGAACCTTTATGTGCTTAAGTGCGATCATTAGAGGCAATTTCGTTCTTCCTAATTCGCACGACTCTTCCACGACGGAGTATCTGTGAGTGGACCCCGTCTAAAATGCATATTTTACTAATAGAAATGCATATATGAATAATATGATTTAATGGTTGCGTTTTATGAGTAAATTAGATTTACACTTTATGATTATCATGCTTAACTGAGAATATTTTAGAATACCATACTTTATCAAATTTATGTTCTTGGTAGTATATATGATGGATGAATATATGCTATTTATGAACATATTTTTACACACTCTTTGTAGTATATATCATGGATGACTATATACTGTGAAGATGTTTTTGAGATATATGTACTTATATTGGAAAGATTATATTCAATGTTTTTGTGCATATCTAGTGGTCATTGTTTTGCCTATGGGCGACAATACTTATATTAGCTTCGGCCGGGCATAGTTTGGTGGCTTTAACCGGGAGATACTTATATTGGTTTCGGCTGGGCATAGGTTGGTGGCTTCAGCCGTATGACACTGATACATGATACCACTATTTAGCACATCATATGACATATGTTTTATGAAAGGTTTTATGGCATACTAGGGTTTTCGGAAAACCTATTACTTATTATGCTATATGAGTGTTCATAAACTTTGGGGGTTAGTACGTTGATGAATAACTGTTTCAATATTATATATATATATATATATATATATATATATATCAACTTGGTCCACTCATGTTTGTTTTTGCGCCCCCCCTCAGGACATAGGAACGAGGCATACGATCCGAGCTACGAGGCGTTCCCCTACCAATGATATCGTGCCATCCTCTCTGCTTTGACTTCATTTGTAATAGCACCTTCCGCTTGTATTCTAAATTAGATATATGCTTTGAACATGTCATGCATTATCATTATCATTTTATGTACGGCCGAATAATATTATATTATGTAGTTCAAGCAAATTAATATGCATGTTTTCTCATGTTCTTGGCATATGCATTGATTAAATGGCTTATGCCACCTCGGGTGTCGGTCAGCACGTGGCCATCTCGCTGTCCTCTGAACATTGGGATAGGGGCATGTCATCACTAGCGTTAAGTGATGACATGGACAAATATTAAAATGGAATTTAACTCTCAATTATGGAGCTTTGAATCTCCAAATGGACACATAGCCAAACAAATTTACGGTTTAACTTGACTAAAAGGAGTCGATTGGGAATTTGGAGCTCCAAAGAAAATGATTAATTAAAACAAGCTTTAGAATTTGTTCATCTCATCATTTAGTGCTAGCAACATCATCACTTAATATTTATAACGTCATCACATAACGTTGGTAACTTGACAAATGTTTAATTTTAAAAAAGTTGGGTGAAATTTTTTGAAATACTTAAAACCTAAAAATTAAGGAAAGGAATCCTCTCCGGATTTCTTCCACCAAATTCAATCAATCAACCAATCTGGACCCTTAAAATTTGATTCAACAGCTAAAATTATTATAATTTTTAAAGAAGCCTCATGTTTTAACTTTTAAATGAGCCTCCTATTTTTAGCTGTTGATCAAATTTCAAAGATCTAATTTTGTTGATTAACATGAATTGGTGGAAGAGATATGATAAGGGTCCTTTCGAAAAATTAAAACCGGGTTAGAAGGATGGGTATCCTAATGATTGGTTCATCCCTTATTCAAGAAATATAATATTTTCTTTTTCATTTTTTTTACTATAAAAAGAAAAGAAAAAAATGGAAAAAAGGTGAAGATTAACTTTTTGTTTTGAAGGATTGGAAAAAAAAAAAGGGGACAGAGAGAGAGAGAGAGAGAGTCAACTGATTAGTCTACTCTACGTAGTATTTACCGCATACGCGTAAGCTGTCACTCGCACTCAATCTCTAAAACCCTTTCGCTTTCTCTCTCTGTTATCTCCGCCATATCCATCCAAATGCCTTCCTCCTCACCTCCTCCCTCTTTCTTTTTTTCCTCTCCCTCACCAAACTCTACCTAAACCTCCATTAGGAAAATCTCTCTCTTTCTCTCACCCTCCTCAGTATATTCATCTCTCTCTCTCTCTCTCTTTACATATCAAAAATGGCTTCAACGCCGCCGCATTGCTCAATCACGGCGACTAAGCCTTACCAGAGCCACCAATACCCCCAAAACCAGCGCCTAAAATCTCAGCGCAACTCCCGCCAACCCAATCAATGGACGACCCAACAAGTTTCCCTCCCAAAGCCTCTGCCTTTACCCTCCCAACCACCGCGCTCCGCCCCAAGGCCGCCGCTTCCCGCCCCCACCTCCTCCTTTTCATCCCTCTCTTCTCTCCCTCCTCCAAAATCTGATCTTGTCACCGCCTTCTCGGGCCGCCGCTCCACCCGATTCGTCTCCAAAATGCACCTGGGCCGCCCCAAGACCACCGTGGGCTCCCGCCACTCGGCGCTGGCAGAGGAGGCCCTGCACCACGCCGTCCAATACGGTAAGAATAATCTGGCGCTTGATGATGTTTTGCTTAGTTTTGAGACTAGGCTTTGTGGGTCTGATGATTACACGTTTTTGCTAAGAGAGCTTGGGAATAGGGGTGAGTGTTGGAAGGCAATTCGATGTTTCGAGTTTGCGGTGAGGAGGGAGAGGAGGAGAACTGAGCAGGGGAAATTAGCTAGTTCTATGATTAGTACTCTTGGTAGGTTAGGAAAGGTTGAGCTTGCTAAGAATGTGTTTCAAACTGCTGTTGATGAGGGCTACGGAAAGACCGTTTATACGTATTCTGCGTTGATTAGTGCTTATGGGCGAAGTGGGTATTGTGAGGAGGCTATAAGAGTTCTCGAGTCAATGAAAGATGCGGGCTTGAAACCGAATTTGGTTACTTACAATGCGGTAATTGATGCGTGTGGAAAAGGGGGAGTGGAATTTAAGAGGGTAGTGGAGATTTTCAATGAGATGCTGCGAATTGGGGTTCAGCCAGATCGAATTACTTATAATTCACTCCTTGCGGTTTGTAGTCGAGGGGGATTGTGGGAGGCAGCTCGAAACCTATTTAGTGAGATGGTGGATAGAGGGATTGATCAGGATATTTACACGTACAATACGCTTCTAGATGCGATTTGTAAAGGTGGGCAGATGGATTTGGCATATCAGATGATGTCAGAGATGCCTTCAAAGAATATTTTGCCCAATGTGGTTACTTATAGTACTATTATCGATGGATATGCTAAGGCTGGTAGATTAGAAGATGCACTCAGTTTATTTAATGAAATGAAGTTTTTGGCCATCAGTCTGGACAGAGTTCTATATAACACATTGCTTTCACTATATGGGAAGCTTGGTAGGTTTGAGGACGCTTTGAATGTTTGCAAGGAGATGGAGAGTGTTGGGATTGCAAAGGATGTTGTGTCTTATAATGCACTTCTTGGTGGGTATGGGAAGCAAGGGAAGTATGATGAAGTTAAAAGAATGTACAATGAGATGATAGAAGAACATGTATCACCAAACATATTAACTTATTCAACATTGATCGATCTGTATTCAAAAGGTGGTTTGTATGCAGAGGCCATGAAGGTTTTTAGAGAGTTTAAGCATGCAGGGTTGAAGGCTGATGTTGTGCTTTATAGTGAACTTATCAATGCTTTGTGCAAAAATGGACTGGTGGAATCTGCTCTTTCGTTGCTTGATGAGATGACCAAGGAAGGGATTCGACCTAATGTTGTCACTTATAATTCAATAATTGATGCCTTTGGTCGGTCAGCAGCTACAGAATGTGCAGAAGATGCTGCTCCAGGAGGCATTGTGATACAGACCGGATCTTCATCTACAGTTTCTGAAAGGAAGGTCTTTGAAATTCAGGTGGGAGATAGGGAGGATAACAGATTTATGAAGATGTTTGGGCAACTTGCAGCTGAGAAAGCAGGTTATGCGATAAAAGATAGGAAGGTTAGACAAGAAATCTTGTGCATTTTGGGAATCTTTCAGAAGATGCATGAGCTAGACATCAAGCCGAATGTTGTCACATTTTCTGCCATTTTAAATGCGTGCAGGTACATCTCTTTACCTTTCGTATATGGTATATTGAGGACCTTGTTGCTTGAAGATCTGTTAAAGTCAATTTTTAAACTGTGCATTACTAGCAATTTAGATTTATTTGTACCTTACATATTTCATAAGTGTTTCAGTCTCGGTTTCTTATGGTGTATGCCTTACATACTGTGTCATGCTTCTCAAGAGTTTGCTTTCATTTTCTCTACGGAGCAGTTGAGCTCTGTGGGTTGTGAGGCATGTCAAGAACATGAGAGTACGTGAAGTAAAATTTATGGCTATGATACAGTTAAGAATTATATGCACTGGAGGGTTCTTAAATATATGCACTGATATAGGCAGAGTGGAACCTTTCAAACACAACAATTGTAGACGTATGTCTTAAGGACTGTTTACTCATAGTAAGTTGTTAGTCCAGAAAAGAAGCAAATCAAGCAAAGGAAACTCTACCTACTTCACTTCGTTTCAACTCGTGGAAGGTGAAAAACAACCACTATTCATTGTAGTGTCATTGAGGTTATTATGCTACAATGTCAATGATCAGTTGCTTTGATTAGGATATCTAATGTTGAGTACGATGTGGATTCTTTAATCTCCGTTGCATTCCCCTAATCTTATGTTTTTAATGTAAACATAGTCCAATAGCATCCCAGAATATATGGTTAATCTCGGTTTCATTGGCTTTTCAATGCAGCCGTTGTAATTCATTTGACGATGCTTCAATGTTATTGGAGGAACTCCGGTTGTTTGATAATCAAGTTTATGGGGTTGCCCACGGACTTCTTATGGGTTACCGGGATAATGTATGGGTTAAAGCTCAGTCTCTGTTTGATGAAGTTAAGCAGATGGACTCTTCGACTGCATCTGCATTCTATAATGCTCTGACCGACATGCTATGGCACTACGGACAGGTAAGTTTTAGAAGATGCCACCTTTTCAGGTGTAACATGTTTTTCCCTTACCCCAAACAATTCAAGGTCTAAATTTTTTTTTCCCCATATTAAGTTTTTTCATTTTTATCAACGTGTATTTTAATAGAAACAAGGGGCACAACTGGTTGTGCTTGAAGGGAAACGCCGAAATGTATGGGAAAGTGTGTGGTCTGATTCGTGCTTAGATTTGCATCTAATGTCTCCTGGGGCTGCCCGGGCAATGGTTCATGCATGGTTGCTCAATATACGCACTATAGTGTTTAAAGGCCAACAATTACCGAACCTGTTAAGGTTTGCATTTTTTTCTCATCAAACAAGTCACTGTTTGCATAATATTTGTTAGAATCTTGAGTTTATTTGTCGGACTCCCTGCAGCATTCTAACAGGATGGGGGAAGCACAGCAAAGTAGTAGGTGACAGTACCTTACGACGAGCTATTGAGGCACTTCTTACTAGCATGGGTGCACCCTTTCACGTTGCCAAGTGTAACTTGGGTAGGTTTATATCGACGGGCTCTGTGGCTGCTGCCTGGTTAAAAGAATCTGGGACACTGGAGGTGCTTGTTCTTCACGATGACAGGACTTACCCAAAAGGTGCACATTTGGACCAAATCTCCAATTTTCAAGCGCTAGCCTTGTAGTTGTTTGTAACATATGCAAATTTTTTGTATTCTTGTAAACATGTTAACGAAATGTAATATATTTGTATCATAAGTTGTAGCATAGCGTTTTAGACGGCGCTTTCTCTTATCAGCTATTTGGGACAAGGTTGATGCTCCCTTTTCTCAATCCGAATTTGGAACTTTGCGGTGTATTTCTGCAGTAGCGGTTGTAGGCTTTTTGGTGAAAGAAAAAAGTAGGCATTTATGCTACTGGTACACAATTGATTAAAGTTGTTTCCTTGAATTCATAAGGGCTTCCCAACAAATGAATGCAAAGTCCTGGAAGTTTTAAGCCATACGAGTGGCCTAAAAAATCCGCATACAATTACCAATGGAGGACAAAGAAAAAAGAGTAAAATTTGGGTATGCAAATTTTTCCCCTATTCACCAAAGAACGAAGTTTTCATTTTTTTTTCTTCTCAAGGGTTAGTGGTTTTAACTTGGGAATCAAGCAAGGTGGTCGAAAGACTGATCAAGTTATACACGACGGAGAGTCGCATACAATACAAATATAAATTTGATTGTGTTCTTAAAATCGAACACTTGGAACTTCAAGATAAATGAGAACAACGATAATGTCAATAAAAAGTACTACGATGTCTAATCGTGATTTGAAAACAATAAACATTACATAATCTGTTGTTAAGATATGTAGGTTCATAACATACATACACATCCCTGTTGTCAAGAAATGTGAGACCTTTCAGGCCCCCCAACTCAATCCTACCCTTATGAATCATCCTGTATGTCACTAATTTCCGTAAGTGCAAGATTAGTCATCTTAAAATTCAAGACCAAAAATTAGGTCATGAACCCTAGACCAAAAATTTGGTCATGAAGGACCTCAACCGTGGTGGAAGTTTTTGCTATGAGAAATACAAAATTTATATCACACAACCGTACCTGCCTACATGACGCGAGGAGAAATACAGCGAGTGGCTCTAATTTTCTAAGCTCTTTTCCTAGGCTAAGCTCATCTTCAACCTCCACACAGCAAGGGCATTATCCGATTCAATGTTAGATATTACCCGAGGTGCATTTCTATTAGGCACAAACAGATATTCAGTAAGTCTTCTTTCTCAAAACAGTTTTCCGCACTTCCCTCTTTGCAGTTGTAGTGAATCCGGGTGTTGGTATTCCCACTGTGGATTGGTATAAGTCCTTCAAGCTTCAAGGTGAGGCATAACAAAAGTAGACAACAATTACAGCTTGTTCACGAGGACAAAAAGTTCCAGAACCAGTAAGCAGCAGATGTAGTTGGAAGAAAATAATATAACAAATACCTTGGAATGGTGGCAAACAGAGCAATCACTGAGACGCCAACTATAAGAGGGAAAACTGGCGCCGGAGTCAACTCCTGTAGGTCATGGAAGTGGAAGAGGAGAAACAAATTAATATTTCGTTAGCCTAACTCTAAACTCAATTCATAGCCTCACATGCAAAAAATTGAACCATCCTAAATAAAAGTAAGCACCACAATAGGTGATATGCCGTTCCAGAAAGTACCATAAATTAGAAGCATCTATGTTTATATGATTTAAGAAAATAAGGGAAGGGGTGTATAACTTTAAGGCATTGCACTCTTACAAGATTGTTAAAGAACAATTGGAAAGAGAAGTAGAACAAACCTGCTTGTGGTGATCCTCCTCAAATACATATCTGAGGGGGCCAACATGTATACGAGTATTCTGCTCTAAATCAACCTCAATAACCTCGGATTCAAAGTTATGGCTGCTTGACGGAAGACTAGAACGAAGCTGCAGAAGGTGCTTACCCTTGGGTAAGTCCTTCACTTGGAAAAAGTTGGAAAGCGGAAGAGGGAAGACGGACTCCATAGAAAGATCACTAGATGATTTGATTTCCACCAGTAGGTGCGGATGCAGTTCCTCTATTCTCTTTCCTTCAACATGGCAACTTAAAACAGTTGTGTCTGGCTGTTCAAAAACCAGAAAATCTAATCCTTTGATATCCTCGTGTCCAACCTACAAAATTACCAAAACCGTGAATAAATACATACACATGGATGGGAAGCAACATTATCAAAGACTTAATTTCTAAATACTGGACTGATCTTTCCACTCCAAGGAAGTTCGGTCTACTATACTGCAAAAAATTTCTAGCTGCTAACCTTGATGGGAACAGATTCTGGTGACGCACGCTCAATTTTAGCACTACCAAAACCATCCCTTTTCACTACTTTGATTACATAGGTTGTGTCAGGAAGAAGTCCTCTCAAACGATAACTTCCAGATGAATCAGTCACTGTTTCCCCGTAATAGGCTTTTGATTCTGATCTGGCCTCAACCAACACGCCTTCTTTTGGTTGGCCAGACAATAGAGTAACAACACCCATAGCACTGGAAAGGGTATAAACCAACTTAGTATCTCACAGAAAGAATCATAAATGAATATCAAATCTGTATGTTTCCACATGGTTGCACTGATACAAATTCTAAAGTACTATCATCAGTATAAATGAAACAGGTTTGGTTTTAAAGACTTCAAAACTTGGACCATGCATGCACAGATAAATATGCTGCGATGTATATAATATGGATTAAAGTTATTTTGGAAAAAGAAAAAGAAAACTGATTAAAAGTCAAAATCACAGTAGCATAAACTCATATTAAGATAATTACCAAAAGCAAACAATGATGACTAAAAAGGGAAGAAAAGCAAAATCAATCAGGCGAAGTTGTACTGCACAAGAATTATATCATGTTTCAAATCAATTTTATCAATTCTTGGCAAAGGAGAAATCCGTGGATAAAATTGCTACAATCTGGAAATAGTTTAATCCACAGATCCAACAAAATCCTTAATTACTTCAAATTTATAAATTCCAAATTGTAATAAACATGAAGTTCAAAATTCTAGATATGAAAGAGAAAATGGTTTGTCAACATTTATATGTGCAACAGCAATAATAAAAATAAACTTTGTACATGGATCACATTTAAAAAAAAAAAATTATGCAAATCAAATACAAGAGAAGACTAATGGAAAACCTGTAAGCCACTCGAGTAGCCAAGAAAATAGCTTCTTTAGACTCCCCAGAACCAAGATCTATCGCCAGTGCTGGAGGAGAAAAGGCAAACTCCTATAGGACGTCAAAAATTCACTTGTTAGGTGGAGTGATTAATTATAGCCTTAGCATACAGATAACTCATCGGGGTCTTTAGGGGGCCTGTCCGTAGTTCCATCTTTTGTAGGCTAAATATCCAAAATGGTCCCTAAGATTTGCATAATCAATAGAAATGGTCCCTGAGATTGTCCACCATCCATGATTTTGGTTCTTCCGTTAAAAACTCTTTGGCATTTTTCAAAGCTTCGTCTTAACCAAATTCGACCCATAATATATCAAAACTAAGATAGAAAAGTGTAAAACAAGATTATACCTATTTGGAAGCCCAATGGTTGCCGGAGATGGCCGGAAAATAGCCTAAAAGGTGACTGGTTCGCGGGAAAACTGAAAACCTCGCCGGAAACTGGGTAAACTTTAAACGTTCATAACTTCTTCAATACTCAACGAAATCGAATGATTCAAAAACGAAAATCATATTTCTCGTTGAGACGAAGATAATGATACCTTTCTCGACGGCTAAATAGTCGTGGTTTGGCCAGAAAACGGCTCGAAAGTGGCTAACACGAAAGGTACTATTATCTTCGTCTCATCGAGAAGTATGATTTTCGTTTTTGAATCACTCAATTTCTTTAAGTATTTAAGAAGTTATGAATGTTTAAAGTTAACCCAGTTTCCGGCGAGTTTTCCAGTTTTCCCGCGAACCAATCACCTTTCAGGCTATTTTCCGGGCATCTCCGGCAACCATTGGGCTTCCAAATATGTATAATCTTGTTCTACACTTTCCTATCTTCATTTTGATATATTATGGGTCGAATTTGGTTAAGAATCGATTGAGTTACGAAACTTTGAAAATTGCCCAAAGAGTTTTTAACGGAAGGACCAAAATCATGGATGGTGGACAATCTCAGGGACCATTCTATTGATTTTGAATCTTAAGGACCATTTCTATTGATTATGCAAATCTCATGGACCATTTTGGATATTTAGCCTCTTTTGTATTATGATCAATCTACAATGGCCAGCCAAGGATTTTCTCTATATGAAGACAAACTTACACTATAAGGGCTCGTTTGATGTCTAGGATTGGCTTGGCTTCGATAATCCACTAGATTCAATGCATGTTGAATAAAAATATGGATGTCAACTTGCAAAGTTTGGTCCAAGTGAACGTAGAAGATGGAAAAGTCATGAAGAAAATTGGTCCCTCTCAATCCTACCATTTTTTGGGGATTAGGAGGGATAAGTTTTCATTATGATTTTTCCATCTTCTATCTTCACTTGGACAAAATATGCAAGCTGGCATCCATATATCCATAAAACATTCATTAAATTTAGTGAGTTGTCCCCCATGCCAATCCTAAACATCAAACGAGGCATAACAGCACTAACATAATATGAGAAAAATAGAGCTAACTAGCTTGTAAATTATATAAACAAAACTCTCAATTGCAAATGTCAAAGCCATAACAAGTTTATAAACCCATTGCATGTGGTACGGGTACCTGAAAGAAAAACTGACTCTTGAAAGTAGATATAAACAAGTTTTTATTTCTCTTTTGATGGTATCTTTGAAATAATATAACTTTGTACAGAACCCTAACATTATGACACAAATAAATAAGATGTATACATGTCTTGCCAGTGTGTGTGTTACAAAAACATCATAGTCCTTAGGAATTATATGTCAGATACACATACACACAACATAGGTGACTGTATTATATATATATATATATATATATATATATTTATATGTATGTATATATATATTTATATGTATGTAATATGTATATATATATTTATATGTATGTATATATATATATATTTATATGTATGTATTTATACAGAATCTTTAAGATACATACAGTAAACTTCAACTGAACAAATATCATTGTTCTTTAGACTAGTCAAAAGATAAAAATGAGAAAAATGTCATTGTACTTTAAAATGTAAAAACAATAATATATCCTACGGACTTTTGCCTAAACTAGCTTTACAGTCATTTTAATTCCAATGTTATTTTAGCAAGGTGCATGGTGGAACTGAGTTTTCTTGTCAGACTCTATTTCTAAGCAAAGGTAAGCAATGCAAGTGTGACTAGTTTTGTGACCAACGTCACCAACCATAAATATAAGACAAAAATAACATAAATTTTTTTAGTAACATGATTGATGATTGTTGAACACGCCTTGTAACATCCTAATGCATACTTAACTCATGCATTATGAAGATTGAAAACAAGGAGATTAAAGAAAGAGAAGGCAGAATAGGAAGAAAAGGAGAATTATTAGCATGTATATCCTGGAAGATAATAGGAATCTTGCATTCAGAATGTATATCCTCAAAGGGTACCTTTAGCAGAGGACGGAGATAGAATGTCCCTGGAAATAAGTTGTTAAATAGGAATGCTCCACCAGCTCCAGATACCAAGTTGTTTCTGTAGCCATCATCGCCACTCAAAGATAATAACACTGAAGGAATAGTCTCTTTAGCATCATCTTTAGAATGAATATTTACAGAAATTTGGCCAAGCTTCTGACAAGAAAAGGAATGAGGCCCAACTTGTTTTAAATGATACCCAGGCTGCACAAAATGGAAGACATTAGGTTGATAGCAAGGAATTGCAGTTTCACGTATTTCTTGTACTCAGTTCACAAGTGAAAATAATCTTAGTTCATTCCTCTCTTAATCATTGATATGTATTATCTATGTACTATGACCATCTTAAGCGTGCGGGGTAACAAGCCAGGAAGAGAGAATCTTAACGATGGAACAAAGATATCAACCTCTCCTTTGTTCTTCATTTAATTTATCCGTATTGAGAAAAACAAAAAGATGTAAGAGTATGCACAAATATGTCAAAAATTTAAAAGGTTGGAGAATCACAAGTTTTCCTGGGGAGGTTTATACTGACAATCTCAAGACAAAGAGAATTAAAGTGCAAGGTCTCCAAGATTTGTACTATCTGAATTATATATCTTTTAAATTGCTTTACTAGATTTTCTTGGCCTCCTATGTAGCACGTTTTAATCCTTGTAAATTCCAAACAAATTTTACAAACCACCACCTAAAATCCAAAAAGAGCAAACAACAATTATCAAGTCAACAATATTCAAATGTATCACCTTCAAGACGGTTAAAAAAAAGTACACAATGCTGGACACTTTACTGCAGAAAGTAAATTAAGGTTTTAGTAGATGTTCCAAACCTTTGAAGCCTCAACATGGTATGTTATGTCATCATATAAAGGTCCCCCAACAAAAGCGCCATCCATTCCCGTGGTAGTCTCCAGTACTATTTCACCGTCCTTAAGTTGAGCAATGTGGCTATCCCCAGCAGCAAGAATCTTAATATGAACTTCAGAAATAGGGGGAGAGACTGATCCTGTAATATATAAACCCAATCGACCAGAGAATGGAGGGATTGAAGCTTGGCAGCCATCATTTGAAATTAAGATCTGATGGAGAAAAGTTGCAAGATTAATCTTCGATAAAAAAAATAATGGACTTTCATTTCTTCAGTTGGAAAAATCCAAACCCAATACATACATCATGTTGTCTGGGATAAAACAATATCTTCCTCGTCTCATCAGTTCTGCAAAACATCACAGCTCAAGTCAGAAGCAAAAAATGAAGTAAAAGCAAACAGTAACACAAATGCAGTACTACACCAAGTTTTCTTTGCAACAGAGAGTAAATCTTAAAAGGATAGAGTAACAATTCAGTGCGCATAAGAAACCAAAAGACATTTCGTAGTAGACACATCTAAACATTTGAGATGTGCAAGAGCCATGACTGATTAGTTATAAAGAGAAACAATTAACCATGAACCTTGGATCCTTAGGAACAAAGGTAAGTCTTTCTCCGCGATTGGCCCATGCAGAATATTCATACACTACAGCACTCTGATCATTTCCACTGGAAGTGAGCCTAGCTGTGGTCTCATCTATAATACTGCCCCCGGCATTCAGAATATCCACAATGAAATTCTCAGGTACCTCGCTGACACCCTCAAATGAGCTTGATGAAACACTGATTTGTCCTTTGACAAGATACTTTTCTCCTTTCAGATAAATAGGCTGCAAAAATAAATAAAAGATTTGAGGGGAAGGAGATTTTACTCAAGCAAGATCACTACAAGTGGTGAAAAAAAAAACACAAAAGGGAAGATAACACCATACCAATGGGTTTAAAGTATCAGTCTTAATTGATGAGCTCCCAAAGAAAATACAAGAGTTGACAAAATGAAGTTCATGCACTCCAGGATATTCTACACATACATTCTGGGAACCTTTCTGCAATTCATACAGAGGAGGAAAAAAAAAAAAAGAACTCAGATGCTGGTGCATATGCATCTTAGTTTAGAATCTTTAGATCACCGGGAGGCTTATTAAATAACAGAACAAACCTTAATTTTCAAATTAATGGAAGAACCATCTGGCTGAATCATAAAAGCATCTACATCATGGGTGGAAACGACATTGAGCCAGTAACCTTTTTGAACAAATTCAATTCCTTTTACATCTTCCACACCAACATCCACATCAATGGAACTTTTCTCCCAGCACCAATTATCTTCTACAGCTGTGGGTTCTTCTGAATTGTGCTTGACCTAAGGTAACAACATACATCCAAAGAAAATAAGCATATTAATAGCAATTATACCAAATGAATGCTAATTCTGACATTAAAACTTTTTGTATCGTATCATAACAACATTCTGCAACACAGAATAATTCAATAAAATGCAATGGGCAGAGATGAATAACTGTACCTCAAATCTGTATTTCCCTGGGATGACATTTTCGAAGTGAAATTCACTACTCTCATCAGTCAAATTAATTGTCCTCTTCTCTTCATTACGTTTACCAGCTAAACCAACAAGGATAACAGAAACAGATGTGCCACACTTCTCCTTGCAGGTTACAGTTCCACGTACATTGACCAATGCCTTAATTAATGACAAAAAGAGAGAAAAAGAAAAAAAAGAAAAAATAGTAAGAAATTGCATAACTAACGTAAGCAAGCACAATGTAGAATACTTCTGATTTTATGTTGATGAAAGAAGCAATTTTGTGTCCATCTCATATGCGGTAATAAATCAAATGAATAACTAGACCAACCAAATCAATCTGAACTTATATGAAAAGGTATTATATTCATGTTAGAACGCAGCTTTTAGTGCATATAAGTATGCACAAGCATTGAAGACTCAAAGATGAAAAATAAGAATAGAAAGGAAAAGGGAACTATTATTGGCACTCCAAAAATCTAATTGTGCACTCCTCATAAAAGCATTTTTCCTTCTGACTATAGAAAGTTTGCAGTGCACAATTAGACTTATGGAGTGCCGATAAAAATTCCCAAAGAAAAAAGTTATATTTTATGGAAAAACAAATATCCGTATCATTTAAGAAAAGTCACCTGAGAAAACTTGACGTTCAATAATGGACCTTTGACAGCAACATCGATATAAGACGGCAAAAACATTAGGCCAGAAGCACTGTCAGGGGTAGCTGATATAGCAGATAAACGATATTCACCAGGTAGGACCTGGGCATAAAAGGCAAAGAAGATGTAAATTGCATAGGCAAAAGGGGTTAAGTTTGGATCCACAACACATAAACCAATGAATGCATGGCTGAAAACCCACCTACAATAGGCAACCAAAAAAAAAAAAAAGAAAATTACAGCACACAATAAATTTACTATGTTGATAACTGCTTACACAAAAAATAAAGAAGTTGTCCTTCTCCACCTCATCATACAAAGACTAAGTTAGTTCAAAGAACTTTTCTTTATCGAAAATTCTAATGCGGTACAAGCAATCCTAGGATCAGAACTGGATTCTAAAACAGGAACATGTCAGTTCATTGACCAAACAACTTTGCATCACTTCACAAATGTAGTAAGTTTCACACTTGCAGTATCAAACATGTATAAATTAAATTAAAAGGAGCACAGAGTAATTAATTCTGGCTTCAATCATTGAGAACTGGGCCAGTTACCCATTCTCTATCATACTCTCAACCATCTCAATATCAGAAAATACTACTTGTTTCTAGACACGCCCGGAAATAAAGACCACCTCCTTATTGCACACCAAACTAACATACCTCGAAGCAGAAATTTCCACTTCCATCAGTCTGTTTCACTTGCGGTTTGACATTTTCAGGGCCACGAGTCAGAGCTACCTAAATTTAAATATGAAAATATTATTCCTGCATATAACATAGAAAGAAGAACATAGGGAATGTGATCTTTACCTTTGCTTTGTAACCAGCACTAACCATCTGAACCACACCACAGACATCATAGGAAACTGCTTTAATATCCATTACTGAAGCCATATTTGGTAATACCTGGATCAGCAAGCAAAGTAAGAAAGAAAAATATAACGGAGCACAATTCATAATGATGGAAACCGCCTAGTTAAACGCAGAATACTAAACATTGTAGCTTCTAATAACACATAAGATGGTAACCTTGTTATAGACTCAATGTAAAAGTTCAGAAACAGGTTCTCATAAAATATACCAAATAGTCCTTCAAACTGCTGAACTTGTAATGCTCCTTTGTGGCTTCTATTGCATAGCGATTGGAAGTAATCTGCAACATTCAACAGCTAAGTAACCTAAATTCATTACCGATAACAATAACAATAGTATGCTGTCTAGTTTAGAACCATCAGGGATGGACTTGTAAATCTTTTGCAAGGAGGTTGAGTGCAACTCTCTCTTTCTAATTTTATCCTGCTCCTTTGATTTGAAAGGATACAGACTACCCAAGGTACACATTCTATCCTCGACAATTGATCATAGTAAGGCCATCACTTGCAAATTGCAATATGGTTCAAACGAGAAGACTTAATACGTGCCTTTCTTTCCATTGGCAGATCATGTGTTTGGGTGAAGCTAAAATGTAGTTTGTTTCTTTGTGGAGGCTTAGGGAAGTAAGATTGTGTTTCCCCCATCTCGCATAATTGTTTAAGGAACAGCTAATAGCAAACTCCAAGGCACTATCAGCCGTTCCTTTGGTGAAGGTAAAAACGCCAAATATTGGCCATTTGTTGAGCTAAATGCCAGGAATTTTCAATAAAATTATCAGCCGTGAGCTTTTGAGCGTTTTCATTATTTTATTGTGTAACAAAGGAAGCTAACAGGGAGGGAAAAAGGTAGATGCATACCTGGTCAAGCTTGTAATATCCTTGTTTGTCAGTGATGGACCTTTCATGACCATCAACTTTAATTTTAACACCTTCAATGCCTTCATCATTTCCATCCACAACTCGTCCCCCAACAGAAAATCCAGTGACCTACACACAAAAACAAAAACAAAACAAAACAAAAAGATGAAACTGTCAAATATAAATCCAAACACAACACAAGAATAACTAATGTCAGCATACACAAATAAATTATATAACATTTTCAAAGGAATGAAGGGGCTTCCAATTGTCTAATCTAATTGAATCAGTGTGAATAACATATTTTTACTCTAACTTTATACAGGTATACATAATTGCAATATGACAGTTTCACATTGATGGATGGGCAGCCAATCAATAGATTTAACCCGAACCAAATGAGGCTAAATGACTTAGAGTGGTTGGTTATATACAGTTTAATCTTGTATACTATAAGGGCCTGTTTGGTTCACGGAATGAGTTATTTGGACACTTCCCATACATATTCCTAATAGGTTGGGAATGAAATGATTCCAATCCTTTACTTGAAAATGCAGGGAAATGGTAACAAGGAAATACATTTTATTTCCATTCCAATGTTTGGTTTTTATAGTAATACGAATTAAAGTTTTTCCTACTTCCCAATAATACCTTATTAAAGAAAAAGAAACACCTCGAATATTTAGAGACAAAGTTGTAGTTGTAGTTAATAATGAGGGTAATTTAGGGATGAGAGAGCAATAAATGCTTTCACAGGGCAAGTGAGAAGCAAACCCAAGGGGGCCCAAGGGTTTCAACTTCCCCCTTCATGGGAGTTTGAAGCCCATGTGACATGATTAGAATTCCCATGAGTGCACTTTCCACAATTGGGAAATTACATAGCCATTCCCAAGCTCGTAATACGTGAACCAAACAGGCCCGTAGAAAAAAACAGAAGTATCTCGGGAAGACAAATTGTGCAACAAATATTAAAACACCAAATGTCTGAATTTTGACCTTGCAGACCGCTATACATCTTACCTGGAACTTCTGAGGAACTGTCACATGTTGATGCTCAACAGTTACAGACATGACAGGAGGTGAAACATCAAATACTGTGTTTTCCCCCTTGTAATAAGGTATGAGCTCATACGTTCCTGCCAATGATTCAATGAAACTGAGCACTAGGTTCAATTTGAAGGCAGTAAAAAGTGAGATGCATATGATGAGCATTTTCCAAGCAAGAGGGCTTCAAACCAGATGAATCTTGAAACTTCATTAACAAAATAAGGTGGCACGATAATTAAGATTTGTGACTACATATACGACATAAGGTAGCAAGACAGTGGTTAGCGAAAAAGATCATATAAACATTTGTCTGAATATAAATGTTCTGTTCTTTGTCTGCACCCACTACCCCTTTCTTTTAACTTTTAGAGGGTAAGAGGTGTCATTTTGTCCGCCAACCAGATTTTTCTGTTAGGTTTTCCAAGGAAAACAAAATCGTGGTTTTCTGCAATAGTTGCAAGCATTTAACTATGTACTAAAAGAATACCAGTATAACATTGATCACTTAGTATTAAAAGAAATCCCAAATGCAGCTTCTATATAGTTTGTTGACCACAAACTCTAAAAGTATACAATCTTATATGATTTAAAATGCACTGATCAGTTAAACATCTCAATGGAACATCTACCGCAAACAATCAAACTTTAAATAATACATAAAGCATAAATAAGCAGAAGTTATAAAACAAAGAGGACATATATTGGGGAAAAAGTGTAATGAAACTGCCTAAAATAAACCAAATAAATAGCAAACGTATACAATTACCACAAGGTATTGATTTAAACATGAACATCCCATGAGCATCAGATACAGCATGGCACAGTGTCTTCCTCATCCCAGAAGAAGTTCCAGAACCTTGGGGACAATCTACCTCTAAGACGTCATCTGAGTATAAATAAACGTGAACTCCCAATATTGGATTTCCCTATCCCAAACAAGAAGAAACAAAGAAATCAGTCTACAATCTAAGTAGACAAACTAGAAGTCCAATTTCACCTGACCACCACCACATTAGGGGAACCAACATCAATTAGAAGAAAACAACTATAAATAAAGCAATCCAACTCTTGTACTGATGGATAGATTTCTCAATTCATTAATTGCACATATTTAAGATAGGGACTTGTAGACAAAGCAAAATGTATGATGAACAATTGTCATCTCTAAAGTAACATTCTTACCTGAGAAACAACAAATCCACGAATATCATACCCAGGGACAAAGAAAATGTCATCCACTACGTCATTTCCGAACCCCAAATTCACCTGCAAGAAGTATATAATTTCCACATGAGTGTCATATAAATTTGTAAAGGCTTATCAATGGTAACATAACATAATCTTAAGAAACTATGTAAGATAATCTTACAAAACCATGTAATTATTATAATCTTATGAAACCAGTAACATGTTATAATTTTATAAAACCGAGTAACCTAATATAAGATGACATACTCATATTTGGCAAGAAAGGGCAAGAGAAATTCAATGGGAGATAAACACAACACACAAGTCCAAAAGAAAAGTAAAACAATTATGGCAGAAGAAAGAATAATAAATGAACCTTTGTTGAACCTCTTATTTCAACTTTCAAGTCAGGGTGCAAAGCACGTAATTCATATTTTCCTGCACACAAGACGGATATTTGATAACAAAGTTATTCATCTGCTGAAAAGTGCACTAAATGAGAGAGACAAATACAAGGAAATCTTTCATTCATAAAATCGGTCTTGGAAACCAAATCATGATATACAAAATAATGCATGATGAAAATTGCAGTTTCACAAAGGAAACATATAATCACAACTGTTGAAGTGTACAGGACATATGGGAAACATAATCAAATTATAATCTGTTTTGAAAAGTATGTGATATATTGAAAGGATTTATGAATTGTAAATTTGTAATATAGACAAAAGCTCAAGTTTTGTACCTGGAATAATATTTTTGAACAAGTAACTCCCCCCTGGTGATGTTATAACAGAAGAAACAACACCACCAGTATCAGACAAAAGTTCAACTTCAATATTTGGAGGACCTCCATTTTGAACGGAACAACTCCCTCCACCAACCGCTCCCACTACTCTACCAGACAAGGAGAACCTACCCACATATACCACAAGGTAGTTTATACCAAAAGCCCAAAGGAAGGACAGAAATGCTTATAAGATCATGCAAACTCAAATAAGAGCAAAAGAACACACCCTGTAAACCGAAAGTTAATATCTTGACTGCCATTGCAGCCGGAATCATCAACAATAACAGGAACCTAGAAAACACTACTGTTATCAGATTTCAGGACAAGCGCAAATTTTGAGTCAACGAACCACATATAGGAATAGATCGAAAGACAGAGAAAAGAAAAATTAATAAACCTTGTCTGGGTTCCATGACCATCCCTCTGGGCCGTTAATTTTAATAACAAAAGAACCCTGCATTATCAATAACGGCAACGAGAAGCATTGAACAAACAACAGAACGTTTCAGTCAAGTAAGAAACATCAAGTGTGTGGCTTTTCGTGATCAACTCCGATAATTTTAAAAACAACACAAATCACCACTGAAGCATGAGAGCATGTGAAATGAAAAGATGCAGCGAAATCCAAAGCCTCGAAAAAGAAGAAGAAATAACACCTTGTCATATACGGGAATGAAGTAGTAACCATTGGGAGCACATTGAGTGCTATCCTTCAAAAACCCATCAACTGTCCGAAGCTCAACCTAAAATCCCAAAATCAATTTGCAACTCGTTCGATATCTTGTATCTGGATTTGCATTAGTGACGAAAACTCAGTAAAATTTGTTTTACCGTGATGTCAGAAAAATCCAATTTAGCATCGGTGGGCTTCCTGGCCTTGATCAGAGAAGAGCGAGCCTGCAAGTTTACAGTGCGATTCCTTAGTCGATCAAGTAAAAGGGTAAAACCCATTAACTCAAACAGTGAAAAATATGAAGTTATTTACCTCGACGAAACCGCCGCAGCCGTGGACTGAATCGGCGAAAGTGGTGGAGAGGGAAGAGATTGCGAGGAAGAAGAAAAAGAAGAGTAAGGGTGAGGCGTGGTCTTTGATGGCCATTTGGCCTCCGTCGTGCGCGTGTGTTGTGTAGTTGAGATATTTGCGAGGGCCGAGAAAAAGATGTGTTTCTCTGAAAGCAACGACGCAGATCTGCCTAGTTTATATGATCCATCATTTAAAACAACAGAGAGAGAGAGAGAGAGAGAGAGCTTACGAATCAGTCCGCAAGAGAGTGGAGACTCGAGTATTTCAGTACAGTGACTTCTTTTTCTTTTTCTTTTTCTTTTTCTTTTCTTTTTTCTTTTTTTAAGGAGATTTGACTTAAACCCAACACAACGAGCTAGTAATGGTTGACATTGAAATTGTTAACAAGAGTGGAACTTAACACCACCTATTTGTAAGGCCATTCACAAGTAGCCCAAAAATTAAGTTTGATTCCACTTTTATGGCAATCAAACTCTTATATTGGGTCGGAAAATTTTTCTTGGCAATTTCAATTTTTAAGTTTAATATATTAAACTAATTGTTGGAACCGCATATTTATCAGTATACGTTTGTTTGGAACAACATATTCATCAATATGTATGTGCTAAAAAGCTAGTGAAAAGAAAAAAAAAAAAAAAAAAAAGGAAATTTGGTGAAACATTCGTAATAATAAGAATCTCCTCCCTTCTTACAAATTTTAAAGAGTAAAAAGAAATTTGAATTAAATAAGTGCAAAATAGTACAAATTCAAAAGAAACAACCTGACCCTTTTTATGAACTTGTTATAAATAAATAATTATAATAAAGCTTTTTTAGTAGTTGAATTAAAAATACAATAAAAAATAAATAAAATTCAAAGGAGCTCCATGCACGTTAGTGGGTGACAACAGGCGTTAGGCTTTTTGGTTGCAGCTGCTACAGCGAAACCCACTGATGCAGTTTATGTCTACTCTCTCTCCACATTGGGCATCCAATGCACGCACCAAACATACAAAAAAAAAAATTAAAGAATATGAATAACATTATGCTGACGTCAATTTTGCTCGTTGACATAAGCCAGACTTACCTTGCCATCTCTTAATGGGGTGGAATTGCTCTTACAGCACTAAAGTTACCATCTCTTAATCTCTTAATGGGGGTGGATTTGCTTTTACACCACTAAAGATTTGTCAAGACTGACGGAGGCCCAACCCATCTGTCAAGACTCTCGACGACAAGCGCCTCCCATCTCTCTGCAACTTTCTCACTCACATTCACATATCCCCCACTTCAAATTCAACCTCCAAAATTCGCACTCCCCGCCACCACCTCTATATTCATCTTGCCGTCGACCACCATCATAACTCTCTCTCCTACGTCTTCCACAACCACTCAACACCAGTCCCACTTCCACAGTTCCACATCGAAATCGGACCTCCCTGAAGCGTAAATCGACTCCACTTCCAGCCTAATTCAAGGTAAGATTCATATTTGGTTCTTGGTTTTTGAAATTAGGGTTTTCTATTTGGGATTGCGTTTGTTATATATTGGAGTTAGGCAGACACTGGAGATTTTTGGCTGCTAGAAGTCTTATCATCTTTGTATTAGAAGAAGAAGAAGAAGAAGAAGAAGAAGAAGAAAAAGAAGAAAAAGAAGATGTAAATTGTTATTTGTGCAAAAATATGTGCAATTTGGGGTGTTTGGTCGTAATAATCTGATCAAACTTTTAATCTTCTACTTTTGGAGGTTTCAATGGCAATTCAAGAGGTGGAGTTTGCACATTTCTCATTTGTTTTGGCATTGGATATTTGATTTTCATGCATTTTGCATTGATATCCCTATCTGTATCACGTTTACTGTTGCATTAACAATTAGGGTTTCCAATTTGTGATTTATATTTTATATTGGGTTTTTGAAAATTTGCCGAATTGGGTTTTTGACATTTGCTTGAGGTTAGCTTCAAATTTCAATTGTGGGAATGAAACGTGTGACACCGTGAACTGAATTGTGGAGAGATTGTGTGAAATAATGAATATGTCGAAACTTGAATCCGATAGCTTGTTATGGATTCTGAAATGTGCCCTTTATATATTATTTGCTGATTGATGAATGTGTTGATTAATGTTGTGGCTGATTATAATTTACATGCCGAACTGAAATGTGTTATGTGTTGATTAATATTTCAGACAATATTATTAGCTGGTAGTGTTATTAGAGTTCAGTCAAATTCTCAGGAAGCACAGAGAAAGAGAAGCAATGAATGCGGTAGCAAGGAGTGCGTGGAATGTGTTGAAACGGTCCAGTCAGGGCATGGAGTCAGTGAGTCAGTTGGGGTACCATCGTCATGAGCAATTGAGAGGGATTCGGGTGAAGGTGATGAACGGGAACCTGGAGTGGGCCCTGACGGTTATGCAGAGGAAGATGACGTCGAGTGGGATTGAGAGGATGATAAAGCGGGAGCAAACCCACCACCTCAAAAACTCTGAGAAACGAATCTTGGCTCGCAAGAATCTCGAGCAGAAGCTCCGGTCTCAAGACCTTGCTCGCAAGCTCAAGGCCGTCCTCCTCAAGAAAGTCAGGTACCCAGTTTCACAACCACAAACTTCCTTTGTTTGCTCTCATTGAAATTTATTGATCAGTGATTGGATTGCTGGATTATGATTTATGCATAAATTTTACGACAAAACCAATATGCTACCATCGCTTTATTTGCCCATTATCAACGTGAATTATTGATTAGTAATTGGGTGAAGTGAGTTGCAATAGCTGGAATAGAGATTAGGGCGTTTATTGTAGGTTTACACTCCACGATTAAGAATAATGGAAGGTTTTACTGTATTTAAGCCTTTTCCCAGCTTGTAGTTTGTTTTGCAGTTCAAGTGTTTGAGATTATGCCTTGGAAAGACAACTTTTACTTGAGTGCTTAGTTTCTTCTTGTAGTTTGTTGACTACCCTTCCAAAGCGAAAAACAACTTTGAAATTTACTCAACCATTTGTTTGTTTTGTTTGCTTCACCAATGGTTAAACTGAAAGGGAAGAGAAAATTTTATTAAATTCTCCAACTTTCTGTTTGGTTATTACTAGATTTCTAGATTTCAGAATGTAGACAAGGATCTACGACCCAAACCAAACAAGGGCCATCTGTTCACAAGGTTATAATGTTGTCGATGGAGGTTTTTTTGTTCTTATTTTTACACTTGTTGCTTACCTAGTTTGTCTTTCAAACTTCCTTCTTATGTGACTATTAACTCGTATGATGTCTTTCTTGTTTTGGATTCTTAAGTATTTTCTTTATGTACCTCTTCTCATGTTCTGAATTTATTTTTTGCAGAGGCCTGTGAGAACATCGTTCGAGCTGATTTTGGATGGTCTTCTTTTTGTTCTGGAATTTCATCTTACTGCTTGGCAGCTTCCACCACCACTCTAGTTTTACAGACGAGAATAATTTACTCGGATTTTTTTTTAAGACCGTCGTGTTACATTTGAGAAATGTTATTCCAAATGCATCAGTTTTTCATCGCTCTTCATCACATCAGCTACAAGTCGCTTGCGAGAATGCTCAATTTGTTAAAATTGTACATTTACTTATGTGACTGATGTGTTAACAGAGTGGCAAATGGAAATAAGAACAGAAACAATGTAAAGAAAAATTCAATGTTTCACGCTTCTGCTTCTCGTTGTCTGCCCCTAACGTATTCCGAGGTCCACCACATCCACAACACCCTGTAAGCTGTCGTAAACATCGACGATATGATAATTCCATCACTTTCGACACTTATGAGCTACCAAACCCAAGAAACTGGTCTACTAGTTTTGCAATAGAGCTGGCTGGACTGTCTGCTGCACTGTCTGTGAATGCCTCTGCATATACGCATATAACATCTTCAATACCAGATGGTCGTATAAAACATTGGCCTCTACGGTATTTAACTGCAATATAAATAGGAACAAAGAAAATCCTCAAAATTTTGTTTGTGAATTATATACCAGTAAAGTTAGGAAAAAGGCAATTTTCTCGTGCAACAATCAATTACCAGACATCTAGTTCTAAAATGTAAAGCATGCCAATTATCGCTTTGAATCAACAGCGCCACTTATGATGCCTACCAGTTTCAGCATCGACGCCTTCTTGAATGCCGGGCAGTTTTCACAGCCACGGTTTCTGCATTTGCTGTAACAACAGCAGCTCTATCGACAACCTTGACCTGGTAATTAAGAAGGAGAAGAATTAGTTTCTGAATCGAGTATCATTATAAAACTTAAGAATGCTACGAAAACAATTATGAATAGAATAAACAGTCCGTAACATAGAAGATGGCCAAGGACACTTGCCTTAAGCTGCCTACCGGGAAGATCCTGATAGAGCTCATTCCACCTCTGTATTGACCAGCCCGTATGTTTCAGAATAGCCTCAACAAGAGGTCTCCGATCAACGCATCCCCAACAGCCTGGTTAATAAATTCACTAACAGCCAAGAGCCTCAAGGCAGCCTTATGCTGTTCTGAACCTGAAAGAAACGATCATATACTTCATTTAGATCAGTAATGGAAAATCAAGTCAGCACTCGTGCATAAATAAATACTGCCTGGTCTTTTTGACCCCAACAAAATAAAACGCCTTGCATGACCTTTAGCTACCAGAGAAAGCTCAGCAGTCCTAGCCTCCAGCCAGGATAAGTAATGTTCTGAGAACAAGATGGTGCCATGGCCATTTGCCTCAAAGTAAATCCCGATTACCATACTCTGCAGCTTTCTCATGCAGGTATTTCACTCCTGTACGAGTAAAAGTGACCATCTAGACCTAACTGTTTGGGATAATCTGACTGTGGATGCTCCATTCGCATAAGCTGTTTGTGCGATCCAAGGCGACATTGATAACCGTTATTCCATTCACATCTACTTCCATATTCAAAATGCTTAGTTGCTCCTTGATGAATATAGCAAAGAAAGATAAAATCTTGTCCCCATCAACGAGTTCAATCTTGTTGCTACTTCTAGATGGTACAATAAAATATACAAGCCGATCAGTGTCATCATCTAAACTAGCTCACCTCAAAAGCTAGAACCATACAAATACTTAATCCCCTCCTCTTATCATTTAAAGAAACATTTTACATCAAACTTATTTCCGATCTAACGATCATTTGTATCCCTTGTAAGCAGTCCAACTAGTTAAATCAGATAAAAGTTCAAGGTTCTTAAAAGCAGTAAACTTCCTACTAGTTATGCTATTATGACAAACATCATTAATGCCGTCCAAGATGTACTATAAATCAAACAAGATAATAATAACAAATCAATCACCAAAATTCATAGATTTTCTCCCATCTACGTCATTAATGGAATTTATGTATTTTACAGTATCTCTGTGATGCAGACATTTCAAACAAGCTACTTAAAGTAAATGATTCGTCTTATAATCAAAGGACGGCTGACCTTATCCCAACATCCTGTGAACCAAAACTACAAGGAGCAACCTTCTCTTCCTGCACATGACCTGCACCAACTACTTCATTCAGTACACCTCCTTCTTTTCCACATTTCCGAATCTCAATAGCCAAACCATTCAACATCGTTTACAAGATTTCGAGTTTTTCTCCACCAACACCATTTGCCCCATCCACAACCAACTTGTCATCCATGCTGCAGGCATGATTTCCACCAGGAATCAAATCTACCAAGCACCTAACCAACCACACAAAGCACGTATTCAAACAAAATAGGATGGCATGAAATTCACTGGGAATCAAATCTACCAAGCAGGCAAGCACCTAACCAACCACACAAATAGAAGCCACTCAAACAAAATATGAATTTTTTTTCCTTTTTAGAACATATGAACTCATAAAACAAACCTCTATCTCTAACTAACCTAAACGAACTTGATAGCTGTTTGAAGTAATCAATGTCTGATACTCGCAAACCCTTATTTCTAGCACGAACCATCCAATGCAGCTACGGTGTAGTCATAATTCCCAAGTCATGGGCAACTGCTCCTATAATTGAACTGATTCCCTGCAATAGAACAAATGCTAACCAAATAGAAGTGAAAAAATATTTTAGAAACTGCATGCTACACAATAATTATAGAGAAGATACCTGTGTAGCAGCTTCGACCTGAGATATTGGGAGTGACTTGAAATTTTGTAACCGTTGAAAGTTTTAATCTTGGGAGTGACTTTAAATTTTGTGGCTATTTTTGAAAGATGTTTACACGTATTTCAGAATAATATTCATTCTACAGACCAATAATTTTGAAAAAAAAAGCTTCATGTGTGTCTTGCAGGTCAGAGGGTTTCGATGGTGGACTTCAACTGCCTCAATCTGCTGTGGCATCTTACTGTGCAGAGCAACCTTCTGGTAAGTGGGAACTCCAAATACCAGAGAACACTGTTCTTAGAAAAACTCACCGTTCACCAATAGGCTTCGTCACCACTGGTTTTGTTAGAGGGAGGTTAGTTCACAACCTCCTGCCACTTTACGATGACCATCTTTTCTTTCTATTTTGCTATGTAGTGATAATTTGCCGTGTGCTTAGTTGCATTTTATTTATATGCAGCAAGAAGCCAGTAGCAGAACTATTTTGCAAGGCAGTTGAACTTGCTCATCTCAGAGAGGAACAATGGGAATCGATGCCAGCTAAGCGAAGACGAAGGAAATATATCATATATGTTCTTGTCAGGAATTTGACATCTTCAGCTTGTAGACTTGCTCTTGCCACCATTGTTCTGAAGCACATTCTTGTGAGCGGTCGCAGAAGATGTAGTTGGCTTGCATAGCACCACGAAACAATGTTGTTCGAAATTTACATTTTTACTAAAACAAACAGTTCTAGGAGCCTTTTGTTTTTCGTGTCTCAGCAACATCTTTACAATCACTTAACTGGGTTTTGTTTTCGAAGTAGTGGTAGTTGGCGATATTCATATGATCGTTGCCACTAATCTATGTAGCAATGGATCTGTTCCTCAGTTCTCTGGAAAAATGACCTACCTGCACAACGATGCCTGTTACTATGAACAACCAAAACCTAATCAACAAAGTTCCGCGAAGTTCTACCATTACAGTTATCTCCCCCAATGCCAAATGCGTGTCATGTAACTACACGGGTAAGATTACATTCAGACAATGATATTACACAACGGATGAAAAAGAAAGAGGCGTTCATCTATAACGAATTTGAATATATCTGTACAGGCAGAATGTAATACAAGTATGGGATTAAAAACGTACGTTCCAATTTTCAGAGTCAATGACAAGCATGTGCATTGAAGTGCAATAAATGTTTTGATACCATAAACAGAAAAATCTATGCCTGCATACTTGCATATCGATACAATACAGGTTGCATCCACCTGAAAATACTGAAAGCTCGAAAGATCCCCTTATACAAGTTCAAGTACTGAATAGTGTGTCAAAATTCTAGGGGCCTGCTCTACGCAGTCAATTCACTTGCGGAAACCTTTTCAAGCAGATTCTCAAGCTCGGGGCTTATTTCAATATGATCTTCCTTCAATCTGTGACGCATCTCAGGATCCGACTTTCCTGCAGCTATGTAAGTCTTAAGCAGCAAATAATACTCATTGCAACCGAGACAACCTAGACGCTTCAGAATCTGGCAAAATTTCTCAGCACCATCAACAATTTTCTCTTCCTCAAAATACTTGAGAAATGCAATTCTGGTATCTGGGAATGGATGCCATTCCTCATTCTTGCTTTCCGAAACAGCAGCTTCCAAATGGCTAACAGCCAAATCCACCCTACGGGTGTTCAAGGCGTGAACCATAAGCATTTCCCGAGCCTTCATGAAAGACCCTTTAGTCTTCTTACAGGCATTTGTAAAGACCAATTCTGCTTCTTCATGCATGCCCAGACTGAGGTACCCGCGTATAGCAACATTTGCCAACCTCATATCATAACTAAAGCAAATGGACTCCCATTCCTCAAACAATTCTTTCAACCCCTCAATGTCGTTTAGCTTACAAAGGGCCTGAAGCATTACAAGATAGCTTATATTGTTTGTTGCGGGGAAAGATTTCTTGAGCATTTTCCATACCCTTTTCACCTCGCCTAGATTAGAAGTGCAGGCATAAAGGCTAATCAAAAAATGGTACGGCTCGCGTTGTTTCAGGGGTTTCATCATTTCTTCCGACTTTTTAAGGGCTTGCTCTGCCTTGTCAAAAAGTTCTGCCTTTATATAGATGGCAGCCAGGTTACTATATGTTGACCAACTGCATTTCTCTTCGTCTTGTGTTTCCATTTCAGCCAGGACTCTTTTTACTCCTTCAAAATCATTCAAGGCCGCATAGCTCTGCATCCATATATTATAAGTAAACGTGTCTAGAGGGAGGTTTCTCTTCTTCATTTCTTGCACTAAAGGATCCACTTTCTCTGGATTCTGCTTCCTCATATGCAGAGACATGAGATTGTTAAAGACCAAAGTAGAGGAAGCAAAGTTCAACTCATCCATCGTCTCAAAATGTGCCAATGCCTTTTCTTCCATCAGTTCCTTGCAATAACAGTTCAAAAGTGCACCGTAAGTGAATCGGTCCTTTGAAGATTCTGGTAGGCCGCTGAAGTAATCCTCAGCGGCTCCGATCCCTTTGACTTTGGACATAAGATCCACGCGTATGGCATAGTCAGCTTTTGAGTAATTCATTTTCCTAAACTCCATCCATTCCATTATCTGCACTAACAAACCGAATCAAAAATCGAACATGCTACTACAGACTACCTTGAAATCTATGAACAAATAAGCAATGCAATTGGATCAAATTGCACTCTAAACAACTACAAATCTGTTTGATAACCATTTCGTTTTTAGTTTCCTAAGACATTTCTTCTACATCTCGACTCCCCTCGTTTCTTATTTTCTCCATACGTCTAAAATAAAAACTAAAAACGAAATGGTTTTCAAGCGGCCACTAAAATTCTATTATATAGATTCACATTGTCTGCAATTGAAAATTTCGAGATAAAAAGGAGCAAACAAGAAAGCGGAAGGGTAGAAGTGGAAATGGGCGTAACCTCGAGGGCATGCTGGTACTTGCGGTATTTGCGGAGCTCCTTGATGCATTTCTCGAGCTCAAACTTCCTGACCATTTTGCCCTCCATAACGTACTGGTTTAACGTCTTGGCCACGCTTTCTCCGGTCGCTCCCAAAGCCGATAACCTCCGATACAGCCTATTGGGATTTCCATGCTGACCCGTTTTCGCCGCCGTCGCAGCCTCCGCCACCGTAGCAGCCTCAACTGCCGTGCAAAGCTTCCTCACCAGCCACGTTCCGGTGGATATCGAACGGTTCAGATTCATTTTCGTCGGAGTCGATTTTTATGTCTCTCGAAGCCAAAGGGGTTTTGTTAGGGTTTAACGTTGATATGCTTTCTCATTCGAATGGGAATTGCGGATTTCGAGCAGTGAGTTTTAAATCACTGTCTATTACTAATTAAACTGGGCTGGATGATGGGTTGAGGCCCGGACCGGCTCAATTGATAATTTTTTATTTTTGTCTCGAAATTGACATGTGTTTGTCCAAACTATCGGTTTTTATCATGTAGTTGTTATATTACCATTATTTTGTTACTATATATTGTTATGTTGTCGGCATTTGATTTCAATCAATTAAGCAATCAAAATGTCAAAAATTGATCATTATTTAGTTACTAACCCTTTTGGTGGGACAATTTGAAATAAATTGAATTATTCTGAAGTCTATTATAAATAGGTAAAAGTTAGAGAGATAACCTTTATTAGGGACAGAAGAGAAGCGGGTGTAAAATATCACACTGTTTAGTTTCGTAGATATAACATAAAAGGATTGCAGGTAAAAAGTGGAAGAGGATACTGATATTATTGTTTTCACTTCTTTTCTTTTACTGTGTATTGTAATCACACACGAAGTGCTCTTTATATAGAGCCACATTTGTGATAAACCAAAAAGTGAAACAATTGCTATTTTTGAAAACATCACATAATAACAAATACATTACTGTTCTCAAGTCTTCCTCACTTAAAGCACGAGGGCATTCATTCTCACAATTTTACAACAAAGTCCATATAGTTTACTCATATTTTCACTTGTGTTCTTGTATATTCTTTTCTTGGATCTTCACTTTTGTATTCAATCGTGTTATCATGTTTAATCTAGTCCATCAAATAAGAAAATGCAACAAAAGTTCTATTCGGGCGAAAGTGCAAGAAAAAAACTACGTGATCAAAAATTGAAAATTTGAACAAACTAGGAGGACTGTAAGTGCAATTTGGCCTTTCAAATAAGGTCCATGCTTCCGAGGATACAGAGTTTTAGGTGAGATTCCACAAAAAAATGAAGGCTTCGGCTGTTGTTGGCCCTCCGACCACCATTTTCTCACGATCATCTCCGCCACCACAGTTTCAATCCCAACCCAAATCTCAGCTGCTCCGAAACCAACGCTTTCGGGTCTCATCCTCTTTGGTAAGAAGAATACTAGTTACCGAACTCGAAATGCAGTGAGTTGAAAAACAAAATTTATCCATCAGCGCAATCCACCGCTCGCAGTTGTGGAAGTTAATATCAAAAGTAGCTGAATCCTAATCCACAATTTTCGGTTTTCGGTTTTTTCAGATAAAAGAGCCACAATCCCAATTCCGGGAGAAGCAGCAGAAGCTTGGAGTGATGGATGAATTGTTCCTCAAAGTGTTTAGAAGCAAAATGGCTGAGGAAGTTGGATGGGATTCCGAAAATCCCGGATACGACGGACTCATTGATGTGGCGAATCGGCTTATGCTCACAAGTCCAACCAATTCTCACGCTAAAGAAGCTGCGGTACTCACTACTCTCTTTCTCTCTTTCTATATCCTTGCGTAAGTGTCAGCCCCAAATTAACAAAGAACGTTGCTCGATTAGGACCTGCAAATCACAAACTGAAACATATACTGACGTAACGTGAAGTAACTTGTTAGGGAGAAAATAAAAAACTGACACTGTCAGATGTAGCTATTAACCCACGTGTTATACTATAGGGGGCTGACATAGTTGACATGTTGCGAGGTGTGACCCTCGTACCGACAAATTATTCACTTAGATGTAAGGAGCCAAGTATTTTCGTCAAATGACTGGATGATCCCCATAAGCGAGTGTTATGTATGTGCTATGTGCTGAAATGGCAGGTAAGAATATTGAGATCCTTGTTCCCGCCGTTACTGTTAGACCTTTATAAGTTGCTGGTAGCACCTTTACAAGGAGGAAAAGTAGCCGCCATCATGGTTGCAAGGGTGACTGCAATTACTTGTCAATGGCTTATGGGTCCTTGCACAGTAAACTCAGTCGACTTACCAGACGGGACTTCATGGAACAGTGGGGTGAGTGAGTTCGCTGTCTTATTCTTTCATTATTCCCTTCTGAGGTCGGATAATGGTTGTCGTAATGGATGGGAGGGTCTGCCGTTGATGCAGGTGTTTGTAGAGAAATGCAAGTACTTGGAAGAAAGCAAATGCGTCGGTATCTGTCTGAATACTTGCAAGCTTCCCACTCAGGTCAGTAACTCTTTTTTTTCGAGTAAATACTGGACTGTCGAAGTAGACAGTAACAGCCTGTTCACGGCCGCTTCTACGAGAAATACAAAGTATTCTTTTTCATAGAAACTAAGTAGTAACTGATTGGTTCGAAATCCATAAAAACGGTTGCTACAGGCTTTCATCAAAGATTATATGGGCGTTCCGTTAGTGATGGAGCCGAACTTCGTCGATTACAGCTGCCAGGTAAAACCCCGAGACCTCTTCTACAGCTCGACTCATTTCCACATTGATTGTCCTGCAATTGACCCGACTGAAGTTGAATACGGCAGTTTAAATTCGGTGTCCTCCCCCCACTTCCTGAAGATGATGCCACTCTCAAAGAACCCTGCTTGGAAATCTGCCCTAACGCCACTCGACGGAGAGAAATCGCCAGAAACATTAACGTCGAGAAATGTCCCAAGGCATGAATGACTGCAGCATTCGCTTTGCTACAGGTGACATCAAAATACTAGATTCGAAAGGAACGGTCATTGTCATAACCAACTCTTTGTGCAGGTCTTTTTGTATGTTCAAAAGTCTGCTGTAAATAACAATGAATCCGACACAACGATCGATCCTTGATGGTAATCAAACTAGAAAACAGGTACTGCAAATTCTGTATAACATCCGACAGGGACTACAAATTCTGTAAAGCCTTCAAATGAAGTCGAGTTCAGCGCTCTCTCTCAATGTGGTGGCAAGGAAACAACCAAATAAATTGTCATAAGCGAGCGTATACTGGGTAGAGAGAGGTGAATGAACGAGAATGCGTTTTTCTGTTTGCCCGACACAAATTTACAATGTTATCAGACCTAAATTGTGACATAAGGGTTGTACAGAGAAATGAACAATATGTATTCTGCAACCTATCTTTTTTGGAAAGAAAAAAAATGGAACCTTGGGCACACATCGAATACTGTTCGATCTGCAACAGCATGAAAACGAAGAGGAGGCATGACTAATCTGACACAGAGTTTAACTGAAGCCATTTTATTTGAAATCAAGATTTGGCAAGCAAAAGAAGCAGAGGTTTGCTGCATGGTATCATACAAAAAGTTTCACTAGTATAAAAGATCATCCACTTTCTGCAGCAGGTCAATCAGCTTCCTAAATTATCACCTTTTTCAACTTAAATACACAATGGAGAAAGAAATTAACCAAATTGATTCATCTTTCTAGCAGTAGGGGGAATAACAAGTACAAGCATACACAATTAGGAAGCCGAAAATAAAACTTAACTTACGAAGATCAACATAATACAGGCATGTCAATACTTAAATCTACAATAACTGTAAACAAAAGGGACTCGATCTACGACGGAAACAGAAGATTACATTTACGTGAGAGTGGTGTTGTTCAATTGTATGATTAACAGCTTGAACTGTTGGATTGATCACTTCAGTTGCGTATTTCTGTATAGCATGGGTTCGCACACGTTTTTGCCTATCATTTTAAAGCAGGGAACCCACGATGGCTGTTGAGCACCAGGCTGTTGTACCAGCTGAGAATATATGCTCATCAACCCTCTGCACTACCTGTGCCACCTGGTACGCACCCAAAGATTCATGAAAATGAGAAGTTTATACATTGTTAAAAGTAAAAGTTCGAGCATGCTTGTTTCTCGAACAAGCAACCAGATTGAAAAAATAGCATTACTATATCATAAAATTTTTCATTGAGAGGTAAAGGATCAAATCCTTTTCAGAAATAAAGTTTTTGGTCGGAATGAAAATGTAGTTTACAAATATTATAATTTTTACGCCAATTTAAGAAATAACTGTTTTTCCTAGTTAGATTGCATTTCAACAATTAATTAACTTATTCGTTTTCTTTTGAAATATGTAAAAATAATATTATCACAATATCATATACGCTTTACCTGTATATCGGCGGACCTAATACCACCAACTGCAATGCAAACACTCTTGCAGCAATGTATTAACTATTAAATAATTTAAAGTAGAACTATTTACATATTTGTCTGCATTTCTTTCTAGGCAGCAACTCCGCCTGTGTAAGTTTATCTTACATTGCCGGTCCCAAGCCCGGATAAAGGAGGAGGGGGAGGGCATCAGGTAGTCGACAGCTGGCACTCCTATCTTACGTCAAATCCTTATGATTGTTCTTTCTAGGCAGCATTTCATAGAATGTTTCTTCCAAAATTTCTGTTTTTTTTTAATCACAGCTCTTATCACATGATGAATGACTACAACAATCTATCACTTCATCTCGAATCCATGCTAAAGAAGCTATAACACAACATTTTCCTTGCTGACTCTTAGATGATTTTTAAAACGAATGGGTAAGAAAGTTAAAATAATAAAGTAAAAGATGAATATACCTGTTGAGTACTACCACAAAACAGAATTTGCCTATGCTTTTTCCTCACCTTTCCCATCATGAACCTACAAAACACAAACCAATTGGGCACTAATTTTTTTAAAATTTACTTACAGAAACTGATAATCCAGGCACACAATTCACTATGTCTTGAAATAGGGCATACACTAGCCAAGAATAGGTAACTGAACGTACCTGACCAAAATCACAAACTCAGTAGAATACATGATAGTCGACCAGGTTTCACAAGGAGTCGTGTGTCATCGGGATGATTGTGATGAAATGGCCTCGGAATCAGAGTCAAGCTCCCACCAACTGCAAGTATCATCCTTCCCCAAATTGTCATTCGCCTCACCAACAAAACCTTCGATATCGTCATCCTCACTTTCACCATAAACCTCATCATTCCATTTATGCAAACTCTGATCCCCATCTGTCTTGTATGTCCACTCCAATCTCTCGCTTTCACCATAAACCTCATCATTCCATTTATGCAAACTTTGATCCTCATCTGACTTGTATGTCCACTCCAATCTCTTCAACACATCACGGTCTTTCCATTTCCCCACAACTGACACTGCCTCCTTTTTAGCCTTCCCAATCAAAATCTCATTCCAAGAAAAACCAGAATCCGCAGCCCTCTTCAGAGCCCCATCGCCAAAATCCCCCACAACAACCGTCTTCAGACATCTCAACTTTGCCTCCATCACAACATCCACAAAATCCGAATCATCCGACACAAGCATCAAACAGTCAAATCTCCTGTGATCCATCATGTCCACAATGTGATGTCTCAATGCGACTTTCACCCCCTGTGGCTTATCCAACACACTCCGAATCCAAAACCCTGCCTGCTCCACCTCATCCGCTAAACCACGCCCCACCTTGGTTGTCAAAACATCCCTTGCAGCATTCTTATACTTCTCCATCTTCATGGAATACTTACCCACCAACTTCACTCTCCTACTCCCTCTAGCAGACTCAATCTGATTCAACCTCTTCACATGTTCCGTCTCATGAATCTGCTTAAAATGATTCATAAGCTTCTCATTGGTATAAAATCTTCTCCCACAAACCGGACATGTATTCGACTCACCATCCCTAATCACAACCCTATTCCTCTCTTTCCTTTCCCAAACAACTTGTGGAACATAATTCAACGCATTTCGATTCGCATACGCTATCATATGCCGGACAATCCCGAAAGATGAAGCCGCAGTCTTGAGCTTGACGGCGGCTTTGTACGGTGAGACTGATTTGGGTGGTCTGGTATCCAAATCCCAGAAAATTGCAACACTGTTTTCAGAAATTTTCTTTGGTGCTAAACATGAGGAAGGATTCGAAGAATTGAAACCCGTTTTCAATTGAAAATGACAATATCTAACCAATTGGGTAAAAGAGATTAGGGTTTCTGGCCTGCTGGATTGAACTGTACAGAGAATGTGGCGAAATTTAAGATGTGTAAGCATTGCGGAGTTTCAGAGGTTTGGTGGTCTCTTTGATTTTTCAATGAATCAGGAATTCAACAAGCAGTAATTAGGAAAATAGATGGAATAGAAAACCTTGTGAGCTTGAGAAGGAAACGAAACGAAACGGAGAGTGTTACACACACCGCAGCAAACTCGTCCTCACGGCGGCGCTTCAGGGCGGCGATTGGGCGGACTCGGACCCGCGTATGGGTTCTAGGGTGGTAGGAACTAGGAATGTAGGCATTTGGAGTTGCGGGTGGCCTTAAGTAACGAAAGGGAAGGGATGTAAAACCAAGCCGAATACGAAATTACATGTTTTGCCCTTTAGAAGGAGTGAGAGCATGCCCCTGCCCAAATGCCTCTACGCCCTCCTCCTTTCCCACCATTTCTCCGCTGCAACAGCCGCCGCCGCCTCCGCCGCCGCAAGGCTCCCGAAGCTCCCCAATGTCCCCCCAAGGTACAAGTCCGAAGCCATCAGCCAAGCCCAGCAGGTCCTCACCGACTACCTCCACGCCACCCGCTGCTTGTCCTTCCCCTCCGCCGAGCACATCAGCAGAAACTCCCCCTTCTCCCTCGCCAATCTCATCAAGCAGATCAAATTTTCGACCCCGAGTTTCTCCAACCGCTTCGAGAGGTTCCTCAGGTACCACCCCATCAACGAATTTGAGTTTTTCTTTGAAAGCATAGGCATACATTACAGTCAAGTTCGTGACTTTTTGCCTCCCGACAAGTACTTTTTCTCTGAGGATCCGACCCTTTTGGATGTTGCTTCGCTACTTTCCGGGTTTGGGTTTCCTTGGAATATGATAGGGAAGTTGTACGAGGAGGAGAATTCGATTTTTAGTGAGAGTTCAGAGGTGTTGAAAGCTAGGCTTACTAGGTTGAAGAAATGTGGGTTCAGCAACCATTCTGTTGTGGGTATGTGCTTGGCTTTCCCTCATTTGCTGCTGCTGGAGGGCGAGCCGGGCGGTGATACTGCGGATTTGCTTGTTGATTTGAAAAGGGTTCTTGTGGATTTTAATTTGGAAAATTGTGTTGAGGGAAATGTGGATGCTTGGTATGGTGTTTGTAAGAAAGTTCGTGTGTTTTACGATTGGGGTTGCAAGAAAGGGAAGGTAGGGGAATTGATGGGGAGGAAGAAAGACATTTTTCTTGAATGCTCGGAAGAGGTTTTGTTGCAGAAATCAAACTACTTTCATAAATTTGGTGTTAGGATGGAAGATGTCGGGTTGCTGCTTCTTCAAAGTCCGGAGGTTTTGAACCTTGACCTGGAAACGCCGGAGATATCAGCATTGGGGTTGCTGAAACATTTTGGATTGAACGCGAAAGAATTGGAGGTGGTGAGTGAAAAGTACCCTCATGTGATGGGAAAGAATAGAATGGCTAATTTACCACATTTAGTAAGGGCTCTGGATCTTCATCAATGGTTCTTCACTAAGATTAAGAATGAACATAAATTGTTAGCTAATTACGTTATCAGTGACTTCGATGAAGGCATCGCGAAAGAATTTAGTGAAGGATTGGAGAGGATCCAATCTACGACGACTCCCATTCATACAATGGGAAAACTGGACTTCATGCATAGAATCGGGTTTGGAGAGAACCCTTTGACGCTAATGTGCTTATCCCAGTTGCATGGCAGAAGCAGCGAGTTACAAAAGCGGTTTGATATCCTTCTTTCGACGGGCATTGAATTCTCACGGCTTTGTTCAATGATAAGAATGAAACCAAAGATCTTGAATCAGAGTCCAGAATTTCTAGAAGCAAAAGTAAGCTTTCTTAGTGAGGAAATGAAATCTTCTTTGGAGTACCTCAATACTTTTCCATCATTTCTTTGTTTCAACTTGGAGAACCGGATCATGCCCAGATATAGATTTTATGTGTGGCTCAAAGAGAAGAAGGGTTTGCATTTTGAAAGCTACTCTATTGCCACCATGATTGCTACCAGCGAGAAGACATTTGTAGCGCGGGTTTCTGGAATTCATCCAGCTGCGCCGAAACACTGGTTCGAGCGTTTCTCGTACAGAAAATATTTAGGTACTTGGAGACATCTGTGACATTGACTAGAGTTTGTGGTTGGAGAAAACAAGCAAGTTAATAGATGAAATGGTTCCACTTCAACCTCAATTTTCCCACCCTTCCTATTCGATGCATATCACAAAGCGATGTGCAGAATGTATAGTAGCACTGATTCTAGCTTTCCCGGTTACAAAAGTATCACAAAGCGATGGTTTCCTCTTTTGTTTTATTTTTCTTTTTAATTTTTGTATTTAATTAAGAATGTGAAATCCAAGGGGTCCGTCTGGTGAAAAGTGAGTAAAGCTTTGGAATCCCAACTTGTGAAAAACGGTACCACAAAATACGCCATTTCTGAATCCACAGAAAACCAAAGCTGCAATGCAATTCTCACGTGAAGAAGAATACTCAAGATCATATTACTAATTAACATTGCAGGGCTTACGACTGGGCCACATTTTTAGGGATTGTTTAATGTTAACCCATCGTTCCTTATCCAGCACTGATAAACTTATAAAGACCAGGTCATCAGTGCTGGATGAGATCTTAAGTTAGGTGCGAGGTCAATAACTTTATTGAGTTAAGTGGCCGATGTATCGAAACTCGCAAGTCCAGCAAAAATGTCAGGAGCATTTTTACTCACCATCATAATTATGGTGTATGCTTATTATACACCTAATAATTTATCATGTATCCTTTCAATTAACTCTAATTAATTTTCATATTAAATGTTACCTTTTTAATTTTGAAAAAGATAACCAAGGTTAAGTGAAATGACACATATCACATGATTAGGTGTACGGTAAACATACACCAAAGTTTAAAATGGTGAGCAAAAATGCTCTAGAAAATGTCTCATGTACCAAGCGCAAGTGTTAAAAAATGTATGAAAAATATTTTTATTTCAACGTGGAAAGTACACACTTACATGTATTTGGCCGTATGAATGACAGATGTATACAAAGAAATTTGTTTTTAAATACATACGTAAGTGTATTATACGAGCATTATGAGCTTATTTACTAAAAAGGATAAAGTGTCCGTCTGTCTAAGGGTTTTTCAAGAATAGTTGGCCTTTTTTGCAAATACTGCGAAGTTGGATAAAATAGCAACAAGTAGAAAAAGAAAAAGAAAAAGAAAAATACACGACGAAAGGGTTTTTGGGGGTTCAGTCCTTGCTTCTCTCTCCGTCTCCAATCTCCGCAGACACCACAAGTGCGCAAGCTCCTTCTCCCTATTGCCCTTCTCTTACCAGGTAACCCTAACCCTAACTTCTACCCCTTAATATATAAATATACATACATATATATACACATATACATACATACTTGTGTCTGTAAATCGATATAGCTCAACTAAATACATATCAGAAAACTCAAAGAATTCTTTTTTTTCCCCCCTTTAATTTTGTGTTTTCGACTGTGTGATCTCTGAGAAGTTCTGAAAACAGAAGAAATAAATTAAATTGTTTGCTGAAGTTTTGAGCTTGTTGTTGGGAAGGAAATGTATTGCATGGATTAAATTGTTTCTTCTTTTTTGTTTGTTTGTTTGTTTTCTTGTTATCGCATTTGAAGTTTTTGACATTTTTTGGTCCTCCTCAGGGCAAAAAGGACCTATGTTACTGTTATTGTGCGACTGTACGAAACAAGCTGCAAAATCCGCCATTTTTGTTCAGTTTTTCGATTTGAAAAACCTTTTATGCAACTAATAGATAAGGGTTTGGTGTGATTTTTAGGAATTTGTTTAAAATTCAAACTGTGACAGTGATTTTGTTGAATTTAGAGTTGTTATGTTCGGGATTTCGTTGCAATTTGATATGGAGGCTGTAATTATCGTGAATATGTATATGCAATTTTTTTTATATTTTGGTTTAGCGCATTATATATTTGATCTTTAAGTGGCTGCTGCAAATTTTCGATTTTAATTTGAAAATTTTCAAAGAAATACAAGGATTGTTGCCAAAATTTGACAAACTTTTTAGCTTAGGAAGCACCAAAGTTTAGTCCAAGTTTCATTGCAGCCAAAATTGAAATCCCGGTTTTGCCAGTGCACGTGGATTATTTGTTATTTACCTCAGTGTGAAGTATTTATGTCAACTTGGATGTGTAGTTACAAAGAGGAACAGATAATAGGGGTTAAATGTGTATTTGGGAAATTAGAGATGAGTTTAACTGAGGATAGCTTGAAGGAATTGGATAGTGATACTAGAATGAAAACTACGGCAATAAGCAGTTAAGCACATGTTCAAGTTGGGAAGGCCTGTTGTTAAACTATATTGACATGAGTTTTGCATAGGATTTGAACAGCCAATTCGTATAAGTTTGACCATGTCGTTTTACTTCAGTTGAGCTGAATTCATAATACAAGGCCTAAGTAGTAGTTTCTTATAGAGTAGGGCTATCAAGGTTAACATCCGGATTTTGGTCTAGAGTGTTCTGCTAAAATGACCATTGAATTATTGTTTTTATTAAATTTTTCATTTCTGTTTATTCATTGTAGATGGCCAGATGGGATGAGATTCTGTCCCTTCCTGTACAGAGTCCACCTGCACTGGAGTTTTCATCTTCTGATCTTGTGTGGTCAAAGGTGGAAGGTTGGCGGGACAAGAAAGATCGAGTTGCTCTAATTCCATTTCCTCGAGTTGACGATTTTCTGAGGGGTGAATCCTCTAGTAAAGAATGTCCAACAAAATTTCATGTTGAAGCGAGGCGGCGGCGGCAGCCAAAAACGCCTTACAAACCAAAGGTTGATGGTATTCTTGAATATATTCTGTAAGTTCCAATTCCTCCCCCCCGTGTCCATTTTAGTCAGCATTCCTGTATTCTATCAGCCTAAACTATCTTTTTTCAAATGTGTAGATATTGGTGTTCCTTTGGTCCTGATGACCATAGGAAGGGTGGGCTTGTACGACCCAGCAGGATTAATATCCCAAAGAAGAAAAATGCTGGTCGACCGAACACCAAGAGAGGTTGTACCTGTCACTTTATTGTGAAACGATTAATTGCTGAACCCTCAGTGGCACTTATTATATATAATCAGGATAAGCATGTAGATAGGAAAGGAGCGCCCTGCCATGGCCCCCAAGATAAGATGGCTGCTGGAACACGTGCTATGTTTGCCCCTTATATCTCTGAGGATCTACGTCTTCGTGTGCAATCTTTGTTATACGTGGGGGTGTCCGTGGAGACTATAATGCAGAGACACAATGAATCAGTAGAGAAACAGGGTGGTCCATCTAATCGTGATGACCTTTTAACCCATAGGTATGTTCGGAGGCAGGAGAGGGTCATTCGACGTTCTATATATGAATTGGATGCCGATGATGTGGTTAGTATTAGCTTGTGGGTAGAAAACCATCAGAGTCATGTTTTCTTCTATGAGGATTTCTCTGATGTGGACCCTTTCACTTTGGGCATTCAAACAGAGTGGCAGTTGCAACAGATGATTCGCTTCGGCAATCGCAGCCTTATAGCTTCTGATTCAAGGTTCGGAACAACCAAATTGAAGGTCCGTTTAGTATGTTTAACCTTTTATTATTAACTACAATTGTTAATAATAATGAGAAACTGAATGTGTTCATGTTGCAACATTATTTAGTATCCCGTGCATAGTCTCCTTGTATTTAATGAAGACAACAAGGCCATTCCGATAGCGTGGATAGTGGCTCCAAAGTTTGAAAGTTCCAATGCCCATAAATGGATGAGAGCTCTTTGCAATAGAGTTCAAACGAAAGATCCTGCATGGAAGTTAGCTGGTTTCATAGTGGATGATCCTCTAGCTGATGTGCTCACCATCAGGTTGGTTGCTCAGTTCTCGTCCAAACTTCATACTGACAATTTTAGTCACTAATGTTTTGTTTGGTAGCAAACAGTCCGTAGGTTATTTCCTACAGAAGTGGCAATGTGAAGCAACTACATGATTACTGATTAACCTATTGCAATATATTCGATTTCAGTTGTTTACTTATAAATAAAATATCCAATTGTATTTTTATTATGCTAAGCGGGTGGGTCGCTCTCCTTCAAATTAATGCCATTCCTCTTGATCGGGCCAGACTATCTAGTTTATGCATCAGTATTGAGTGATTTGTTGTGCATGGTTTTTACAACTTGTAATCTAATTCAACAGAGTCTTGTGAATGCCAACAGATGTTTAAAATCAACGCTGAAGGCCGGAAAATAAATCATTCTTTTTCTTTGTTTTGATATCCAATTTTATGCCATGCCATTTTGGGGTTTGGGCTAGTGACATTACAGTCAACTATCTGACATGGAGCAAGGCAGTCGGACTTGATTCATAGTAGTATTTCTTCTTCTTGTTATTAATGGATTAATACATGCATGAATTGATGAGTAAATATTGTTTTTTCATTCTACTCAGGGATGTATTCCAGTGTTCAGTGTTGATAAGCTTTTGGCGGGTCCGTCATGCATGGCATAAAAACTTAGTAAAGAATTGTGTGGACAATGAGATGCGAGCTACAATATCAAGAAGGCTTCATCAGGCAATGGATAACATCTGTCAACAACGAGGAACCGAGCGTTTGTTTGAGGACTTCATAGAAGATTTTCTTGATGAATCAGATTTTATGGATTACTTTAAGGCAACCTGGTATCCTAGAACTGGTAAGTCACTATCATATTTAGTAGAGCCTTATGATACGAAGCAACAAGTGCCCTTTAATTGGTTCTTATCTTTACAAATCTACATCTATGCCTATGTATGTATCTCTTAAGACCTAACCTGCCAATTGTTATGCATAAGATTGATTTGATTGTGTGTTGCATACATACAGGTCAACGTATGCACCCAAACAGTATGCTCATAAATTCTACAATATAAGTGTATAAATGTGTGGATGTTCACGTATATGTGTTTGTGTAATGGTATCTTCGTATGCTGATACGCGAATGCTTTGCATGCGATATATTTCTCTGCATAGATGGGAATAGGTTATGTTAACAATTGGGCTACCGAATTTAAGGCAACCTTTATGTGGCAGAAGATCAATGTATTGTGTGGGATCAAGATAAAACTTGGTCTTGGAGATAGTGGCGTTTTTCGTTTTCATTCACCCCCTTCTCTTTAAATAGGAACCATTTCTCTTTTTATCTTGAATAATTCATACAAGAAAAATGTCTTTTGACTTAGGGATGTGGATCTCTGCACTACAAAATCTTCCTCTTGCTAGCCAGGAAACCTCTGCGGCAATGGAGTTCTACCACAACCAACTAAAGCTTCGGTTATTGAACGAGAAGAAACCTAGCGTATACAAACGAGTTGATTGGTTGGTTGATAAGCTGGGTACAAAAGTGCATTCCTACTTCTGGCTTGATGAATATTCTGAGAAGGATGATTTTGCACGATATTGGAAAGATGAGTGGGCGAGTGGTTTAACATCTTGGCGTAAGGCTTTGAAGATTCCTGACCGCAATATTGTCATAGAAGGTACACGTGCAAAAGTTATTGACGAGCTCGACCAAGACAGGGTTTATGTTGTTTGGAACCCTGGTTCTCAGTTCGGTATTTGCAACTGCCGTTGGGCAGAAATGGGCAACCTGTGTGAACATATACTCAAAGTTATTAATGTTTGCCGGAAAAGGTCGTCTACGCCATCTATCAGCCTTTTGCAGTACCACAAGGCCTTGATTGACATGCTGCACTGCCCACCTCATGATTCTTTGATTCGTGATCATGCTGTTTCTTTAGCAGTATTTGTACAGAAGCAATTAAGTGGACTAGTTAATTTGGAAAGCAACGATACCGCAATGGATGTGGCATTTTTTGCCAATCGAGATCAAGAATCAGTAAATGAGGAAGTATTATCTCTAAATGAGAATAACTGTGGGGATGGAGATGTAGCTGCTGAGAGAACCAAGGGTAAGGTGGCTACTGAATCTAGTAATTTGGTAGCACGTGGAGATGACATATGTAATGAGAGTTATGGAGAAGAAATTACTGGCGATGAGATGGATGTCGACCCGTCATCCATCTGCATTTCCCCACCCGGGTTGCATTCTGTTGACGAGGTTGTGTCTAGCAGTGTCTTCCCTGAAAGCAGACAGAGGTCATTGTTTAACAGAGAGCTTGAAGACCTGCCTTCTGCTGATGATGCCCGCACTAATCCAACCGGATTTGAGGATGACATCTTAAATAGAAATAGCCAAGAAAATACGATGGATGAGGACATGAATATCCCTTCCTCAACAATGGAGTTTGTGGAGCAATGCACAGTAACTCATCCTGATGATCACTACAGCCACGATATTGAACCCGCTGTTATTTGCAAGACATCTGAGGACAATATTGTGTATACAAAGACTGCTCCATCTGCATCTATGCCTGATGAATCACAAGTGGTCGAAGTGGCTGAAGTTCCAGGTGTCATTTCAGAAAGTGATAGAATGGAAACTGAAAACAAGAATGGAAGCACGAGTAATCACCCATCCTCCGCTGATGACGCTGCCATTATTGACGGGCCTTGTGAGAACTTGGTAAATGATTCTGATTGTAGTCAGGACTCAAAAGCAGTTGGCAATATGATGGTTGTACAACCAGAAGCACTGATTAAATGCTCGTCAAGATCGAGGTACAACGAGGAACAACTGCCCATTGAGAATGGAGATACTGGAACTGGATCTTCTGAGAACCCATCTTCATTTGCTGAACCTCGTCTTACTAAGAGTGAAGTGTAAGAAGGGCTCTGAAAGCATTCACAGCAGCGATGAGGTGATGAAGCAGCTAGTTGTTAATGGCATCAATATATACTTGTGCTTAGGGAAACGTTTCAATGGATACTTCTGAGGCCTTTTCCACAAGTATGGCGTCCAACAAAGGAGCTAAAATATCGGCGATTCAAATAACTGTAAGTCTTTTCTTTGTGTGCATATGGATCCATTGTAGAAATTTTGTTCACTGACAAGCACAAATTCATTTCAAGCTTTTTTTTTTTTTTTTGGCTTTCCTTTTTTGAAAGAAAAGACAATAAAATTAAAAAGAATGACCACGAGGGTATAACCAATTTGCATACAATCACATAGGAGTGCTCCATGAGCAACACTAGGAATAGTTCTATCCCACACATGAAGGTTGCCAAAATCTAAAACCCACATCTGTGATTGCATCCGCCAAAAAGTTGACCTCCCTAAAGATATGGCTTCAAGAGATGTCCTCAAACCAGCTAGCCAAGATCTTGATATCTGCAATAATGATTTTTAATCTCCAAGGAATCGAGCAACGACCAAGAATAGAGTCAATCACAAGCTTCGAGTCGCCCTCAATTTGAATTTTTCTGAAACCCTAGGATCTAGCCATCCAATGCACATCTCCCAGACCAACACATTCCGCAACATTGATAGTGTTTTCTCCCAAGCTCCTTGCTCCAACAAGAATACGGGTGTCATTTTCAACCCTCACAACAAGGCCAGCAGCAGCATGATGGTTGTTAATTACAGAACCATCAAAGTTAACTTTGTTTGGGATGTTGAGATTCCACATTTTTTTAAGCAACTCAAGAGTTCAAAGCATGAGTAATGTTATTATTTTGAATCCATGTTGCTGATTTAACAGTCAATTTACCATTAGCATTGAGGCCCCAAAACAAAAGAGTCAGTCTTCTTGCTGGGCAATGGGCAGCGGAATACTACAGATTTTATTAACAGCATCTTGATCAACCACATTAGAGAGAGTCATTCTATCCCAGTAGTTGTTGATGAAATTACTAACTTTCATATTTAAATCCAAGCTATTGATTTGGTCTTCCTGTAAAAGACTAATAACTGGGCAAGGAAAAACCCAATTATGGGTCTGGAAGAAAGTGGGAGGGTGAACTAATATGAAACTAGGAGGGCCAATTAATAGGTGATATAGTAAATTGTAGCAATAATCCCCCAACTTTAACTCAATTGGGGCAATGGTCCCTCAAACTAAAAATGACCCATCAACTAAAAATTCATTACTAATGGTCCCTCAACTTTAATCTAACCGGAGAAAAGATCCCTCAACTTTAATCCAACTAGAGAAATAGTCTCTCAACTTTAAGTCAATTAGAAAAATAGTCCTCAACTTTAACCCAATTGTAGCAATGATCCTTCTAACATAACTCATTTTGATAAAATTCTGATGAAGTTGACGAAAAGACCATAATACACGTTTTGATGAGTTGAGAGACCAATGGTAATATATTTTTAGTCGGGGGACCATTGCTCCAATTTGATTAAAGTTGAGGGACCTTTGTTGCAATTTACTCTAGGCCTTAAAATTGTGATTCCACGTCACCCTTTTGTTTTTGCATCCCCTTCTTCATTCCAAAAGAACAATAAAAATCAGGACTTTCTGTACAAAACTCTGGTTCATTTCTTCTTCCATGCAATAATCAAACACAAAAATATCTTCTCAATACGTGAAGGCTAAAAAATATAAAACATTTTGTAAGAGCTCAAAACTACCTAAACGCACGTAAGCTCTACATAAGGCAAGTTATGGTCTAAAAAAAGCATCCCCATTGGCCCTCTGAAGATCATAGCTCAAAGTTCAAACCATGGAGTTCAGTGCATATTATCTTGTCTTCTTTTCTGTTCTATTCATGCTGCAGTATAATTCTTATAGAGTCGCTGCACCATACAGCAGCTAAACCACATACCCTCAACCTCAAGTGTGCCACCATTTGTCAACCCTAGATCATCAATATCATAAAAGAAGATTTCCATTTCCTAACAGAAAGCTTTTGCAGTCGAGACCAAAAGTTGACGTAGAAGTACCACAATACCAGTCTGGAGATTACAAGTCAATTTCCAAGGCTCTGACTACTATGTCCAATCTGCGTCGTAGTACGACCGCAAGAAAAATCATACACATCAAAGCCACCGTTTACAGAGAGTACATCAAGATTGAGACGACCATGCCGAACATAACATTCATCGGAGATGGCATCGACAAAACGGTTGGCACGGGGAACAGAATGTGGAGGATTTTGAATCGGCAACCTTTAGTAAGTTTTCGGAGCTCAGTATCATTCCACGTGATAACTGTTTTACCAATGTCATCATCGATAAACGTTATATTCTGCATTGTCATCTCAATCTAAACTTCAATTCTGATGTGTATAACAATTCTTTGGGTCCTTGTACGACGTAGATTAACAGTCAAGTCAAGTCATAGAATGCAAACCTTTTTTAGATTGGAAATTGACTTATAATCTTTGGACCCATCTTGTGCTACTTATACATCAGCTTTAGCTTTTGTAGAGCTTTCGATTAACAGTCAAGTCACCAAATGCAAACCTTTTTTTATGATGTTGAAGATCTAGGTTTGACAAAAGGTTATTATCATTATTATTATTATTGTAGAGAAATTATATTGCACAGTAGCTATAAGAGAAACTATCACAAGGAGAAAAACTTTTTTCTGGCTAAGAAAAAGTTATCCATGGAGATTGAGCTAATGCAATAGCAAATCTGTAAGATGGGAAAATTTTGGTTGCAGCTGTTTGTTTGAGTTGTGGACCTACTCAAAACTGTTCGCTGTGTTTATGATCAAGACGTTCATATTATAAATCACTATAAAGATTGGCTATACAAAATCAATTAAAACTAAAGTCATTTAATCTTCAAACTGTATAAAAAACAAATAAATGGAATTGGTAATGTATTACGAACCGTCTATGTAATTAATAGAATAGTTGGCTAAATAACCTTATTTTTAATTCATTTTTTGTAAATATGATCTTAACATAGTTATTCATACTATTAACGATTATGATCATAAACACAAAACTTTGTGATTCGAACACGAACAATTTTGAGTAGGAATTCCAACTCATCCTCGAGTAGCTAAGGATTGTTCTTATGATAAATTATTGTCTTGGTAACATTGAGCTCTTACAAATTGTTCTATATTTTTTAGTCTTCATTACACAAGCTATCAATTTAATTTCCCGAACGAAATCATACATAAAAACCCCAAAAAAACTATGAAATGTAAGACAAATATCAGTTACCCTTTTGAGTGGGCGCTCATGTGCTTCAACAGCTTGACCAGAACATGATTATCTTCGAACCTGTAACAGAAATCAAGCAACAACTTTTCGATCAACCTTCAAAAACCCATTCCAATTTTCAATCAAACTTCAAATTGTCAAAAAAAAAATTAACGGGGGTGCGAGTGTGGCGGCCTGTCTAAGGCGAAAGTGCTTCTGAACGAGGATTCTGGGAAGCTCCGGGCAGCCCCAAGTCACCCATTTAAGCGCCGTGGTGGTGGTGGCGGCGGAAGAGGAGGAGTCAGTCTTCATGGTCTCGAGCTTCTTGGCGGCTTTGTCGATGGAGGAGCGGAGGGACTTGTAGGAGTTGGTGCGGTAGATGAGAGACCATGAGATCGCCTCGAGGCCGAAGAGGGAGGTAGGAGGCGGTGTGCATCGGAAAATCACCGAGAAAGGGCGAGATAATTGGAATATTGGAGTGTTTGATCGGATATGGTGGTGTTCAGATTTGTTTGTTATAGATTTTCAGATGTGAGAATTGGATCATTTGGGTCCTCCTCCTCTTCTTCTTCAAATGCTTGTCTTCGCCAGAATCACAGAGAAAAGAGAGAGATGTGAGTGAGATGGAGTAATGGAAGGGTGACTTGGGTCGGTTTGGTTTATTTTTGAGCTGTTGGATTTAGATCCCAAATTAATCGGTGATTTATGACCCAACAGGATCCTCTATAGAGGATTCAGATTATCTCCGACTCTAAGGATCTTGAGCATATGGATCAATTAATTCGGCCTATTAAAATTTGATCTAACGGTTATCATTATTATAACTTTTAATGGGATTCCTGTTTGTTGTAACTGTTAGATCAAATTTCAATAGGCCGGATCAATTGATTCCTAGGCTCAGGATCTGGATCCCTCTCTAGATCTTTTTGACGATGATTCTAGGAATTCGTGAATCATATTCGTTCATCGTATATTGTGCGATCAGTTTTTGTTAAATATTATTTGTGTTTAATTTTAAATAAAAATATTTAAAATAATTTCTAATCGTGCAATATATAATAAACGGACAAAATTAACAGATCTCCGAATCATCGAAGATCCGGATTCATTTATGACCTGCCTAACTGTGCAACCAAGGGGCCCACTACGTATCAAGTCATGTGCTTGGAGGAAAATTTGTGGTGAGACCTTTACCTCGACCTCTACCTCTACTGGAGCAGACCCAATAGAGGGATTGAATTTTGGACGTCTCCTATGGACCACTATGTTTTTTATGGAATGGGATCAAGTACATAAATTTGATGGATAACATGTCACGTTCCTTGTGTTGCTGAAGAGTTATGTGATCCATTTGCACATAATAAGATTCTCTCTTCTCTTTTTTTCCCTTCCCTTCCCTCCTCTCTGATTTGAACAGTCACAGTTAACATTTTACATTAATTTTTTATAAAAAGAGAAAGACAAAATAGAAAAGGTAAGAGAAAGACAAAATAGAGAATGTAAGAGAAAGGGATGAAAAGAAGATGGAAAAGAACCATAATCCCATTTGCTCACTCATAATTTGATACTCGCAACACATATATACACAGTTATACGTTCCTTTGGCTTTGATCATACAAATGCTATGTTTGTACGTCTAGCTACAAGTTCAACTACGTGACGGCCTCACGCACGCATTTGATTTGGTAAGAATTACGGACGACACTGGCCTTCATAGCTCGGTAAGTGACCTCTGCTCCACTTGAAACCCTTGATTTGTTGGTTTTTGGACGAGGAGAGGAGTGTTTTGGTAGAAAAATGCAGCCACGCGGTAGAACGAAAACAACAACAACAACCAAGCCTTATAAATTACAAATCTGTAAAACATCCAACATAGACTACAACCTCCAAAGCTAGTCGATGAAGAGGCTCTCAGTGGTAAAGAACTATCAAAGAAAATGTCATACGGGCATTGTGACGCCAAGTAACGAATTAACTCTAACAGAGATAAGTAATATCTACTCACCTTCTTCCCACTCAACAACCTCCCTACTTCGAAATTAAAATTTTGGGGAAACATCAAAAATCGTTTGTATACACCACTTGAGGTCTTGATCTGGAACACTCTTATCTGTCCTTTTTAACTTTTAATTTCAGGACAAGTAATTTCCTCCATCTGCAACAGCATGAAAACGAAAAGGAGGCATGACTAATCTTGCAGAGGTTTGCTATAAATCAGTACACACGAACGGGACAGGCTGATCAAGCTATTGTAGATCGTTCATTATTTGTGCAGCAAGCCAATTAAGCCAATTAAGAAATTGACCAAATTGATTGATCAAGCTGCCAAAGCCGATTTCTACAAAGGGAATAAAAAATACAGGCATACATAATTCGGTACCCAACTAAAACAAAATAAATAAACTTACCAAGATCAACAATAATACAGGCATATCAGGACTTGGATCTTCCACATCAAAAACAAAACTTCTCATACATGTGAGAGTGGTGTAGTTCAACTGTATGATTAACAGTCCCAACCAGACCGCCTCCGCCTTTCTCTAGGTTTATCTCTAGAACTGCAACAGACACAACAAATGAAACTGATCAGCACCAATTAAAAACATTAAAAATTCTAATTAAGAAGAACCTTTATTAACCTTTCAGAGGGCTTCTGACTTGCATTTACTCCAGAGTTCTGAGAAGATACGTTTACCACTGATGTAGGAGCGGGGGTAAGAGCAGGAGCAATTGTACTGGTTGCCTGAGTTCTATATACATCCCCACCAATTGAACCACCAGATACAAAGCCTCGTAATGCTGGTCTGCTGGGTGCACTATAGCTGTTACCTGAAGCTTGACTTGGAGAGTTGGATGAAGCAGCAACGAATTTAGTCTTGAACTGTGACATCATTCCTGTCCTCACAGGTGTTACTGTAGCAGATCGACTAGCAACGGTATGCGATGAAGAATTATTGGACTCCGTATTATATCCAATTCCCAGACCAAAATCCACCCCACGCACACCTCGACCACCGCCGCCACCGCCTCCCCTCCCTCTACCTTTCTTTCCACCTGCAGAATCCATATAATATCATTATGTGAAATTCTAGAAAAGACTAATTTAATATGCAATGAACCTCCTTCAAATATCCAGTAAAAGTTACTATCCTTATCTTGCAAACGATAGAAATTTTAATATGATCAGACATTATACCTCCTTTTCTTGAATCACGTTTGGACCTGAATCTCCCATCCTGATAATAAACAAGGTAAATCCCACTAAGAAATAAAGCATGTAAGATCTGAAATCTAACATCTAAAGCTATCAAACAAGAAACATAGTAAAGGAGAGAAACAAAAGTTCCACAAACGAGATACACCCTAAATAACTATCAAGATGCACCACCAAGTAGGAGACAGAAACCAATTAAAGAGAAAAATACAAAAAGTATTGCAGTGTATTTTTTTTATGGATACGAAACACAAAAGCTACAGGTAGCGAGCAAGCAAGCATTAAAGACACAAGATTGAAGAAGCGATGCATGAGCGGCTCTTGTAGTGTCAAACTTCTAACATTTGCATGTGCAACCATCTATCATGATAACCTGTGCATTTATGCCTATGAAATAAATTGGCGCAAAGGAAAATAGGTGACAATTTACTAAAGGTTCATGCCTGGTAATTGTGATTTAGTACTCAAAATGCAATTATCTCTTAGTTGTCAAATGCAAATTAGTTGGCCTCAAGTGACATATAGGCAGACCGGAATGCGAGCAAGTATTTGGAGGACCAAAGTGCTTTATAATACATAAAAAACTATTAAGCCCCCAGACCGAGCTTCATCTTTCAATTCATCTCTATGAATCACAACACAACAAGCCAAAATACACCCCAACAACTCCTTTGCTATGCAGACCATAGTCTGAAGTAGAGATGGGACTACTAAAAACCGTCTAGTTACTCTACCCAAACTAAGTGCTTTTCCAGAAATTGACTATCTTGACATTATTAAGTCAAAGATCTCAAGATCCCTGTAATTGCAGGACATACTGAAGCTTTTCTAAATATGGCCTTGAAGACCAAATGGTTCATCAAATCCATCTTGGCCTCTCAAAGTGCACTATAAATCAGAAGCAACCTATGCACCTATATATTGAATCTAATGTAGTTTATTTGTGAGGCAAACACCTGTAGATGTTTTTGTCCAGATTGCATAAAGAGAACATTTTACCAGAGGCCATATGAATAACTTGTAAGTGCCTGGCCCCAGAACATAAATGCATTATAGGATTACAAAACTATGGTTAAGTTATAACTTATAACCAACATCTCTAAAACAAGAAGGCATTAACATAGTTGGATGCATGCATAAACTCGCTATATAAACCACAAAAAATTGTTAATAGTAGTGCAAAATTACCTTCATCGCAAGGTCCATGAGCTCCGTGGAAACAATCTGACCAGCAGCAACCAAGCTATTAACCAACTCACCAGCAAAACGTGCCTCTTTCTGTGTAATAAGAGTGTATGCAGTGCCATCCTTATCACCAGCACGACCTGTTCTACCAATTCGATGGACGTGCATGTCCATGTCTTTTGCAATATCAAAGTTCACAACTGACTTAATTGACTTGATGTCAAGACCACGGGCAGCAACATCAGTTGCAACAAGAACATGGTAAATGCCAGATTTAAATTTTTGCAAAATATCCATCCGAGATGCCTGGTCCTTGTCACCATGCAGAGCTGTGACTTTAAAACCTGTCTGAGCAAGCTGTGACTCAATCTCATCCACTGCAGCTTTTTTCGAAGCAAACACTAAAACATCACCCTCATCAATCATTCCAGGTAACTTCTCAAGAAGCCAGGGCAACTTATCAGCATCAGAAGGAATTACATGAACAACCTGAGTGATATCCTCATTGGCCATTCCCACCTCACCCACTGTAACTCTTATAGGATCAGAGAGAATCTCCCTAGCCAACTTTTCAACTTTACGAGGCATTGTTGCAGAAAAGAGCAATGTCTGTCGGTCTGGTCGAATCTGACCAACAATAGACCTAATTTGAGGCTCAAACCCAAGGTCAAACATCCGATCAGCCTCATCAAGTACTAGGTAAGTTGCCCTTATCATTGTCAGTGCCTTCATTTTAAGCATGTCTATTAATCTCCCGGGAGTAGCAACAACTATTTCACATCCTGCCTTAAGTTCTTTGAACTGATCAAGCTTAGACATTCCACCATATACAGCAGAGACACGTATCCCATGTGATTTAGCAAATTTCTTGGACTCTAAGTATATTTGGTGCGCCAGCTCTCTAGTAGGTGCACATATCACTCCAATAGGACCCTCTTCTTTTTGAAGTTCCGGCTGATCCATAATGTGGACAATCATTGGAAGGACAAAAGCAGCCGTCTTTCCAGAACCAGTTTTCGCAATACCAATGATATCTCTCCCGGAAAGAACTATGGGTAGAGCTTGGCACTGTATTGGTGTCGGCTTTACATAGTCTTGTTTTTTTATGGCAGTCATGAGCTGTGAAGAAAATCCAGAGTCTTCAAATGTCTTGACCGGCCTCGGCACATCAAAACCCGACGCACGGATGGCCAAGCTCTTCTTGTACTCAAAAACATCCTCCTCACTCATCCCTAAAGAACGAAAACAAAACATCAGTTAACTTTCGTCTTCCAAATCAAATATCTCCTTAAGAACTTCTACCAATCTATGTTCTCTCTCACTCAAATTTAAATATTTTGCTACGCATTTCAACTAAATTCAGAAAAACCAAAACAAAATTCTCAGTTGGTTGAATGGAATTTACCTGAAATCGACTCTTTCTCCTCGTAAAAATCCTTATTAAAAGGCTCGTAGTCGATTGAACTATGATCGAGAGCTGGAATTGGCTCGATCTTCCTCTTGTCAAGAACAATGGGATTATCATCCGAATCGTACTCCAACAACCCGGCATCGACGGCCTTGGCGGCCGCATATACCTCCTCGTCGGAGTCATATCCGGCGTGTAAAGCATCCGATGCCAGCGTCAGCATCACGTCCTTCTTAGCCCTCAGAAAACTCTCCATGTGATCCTCCTCCTCATCGTCCTTGTACTTCTCGGCTTTCTCTTTCTGCTTCGGCGGCGGAGCTGACCTCACCTCCTCGTGAATCCCCTCCATGAAAGCATCCAGAGGATCTACTTCCTCATCACCGCCGCCACCGTCGCCGTGGCTGTTATCATTCCCGGGATCATTGGAACCATCGTTGTCGTCGTAATCAATGTTGTCGAGGTCGGTGTCTTCGAAGTTGTCGTGGCTGTTTCCGCCGCGAGACGACGGAGGGACGTAGAGCCGCCGAGGGGCTTGCTGTGACCGCTCGAAATCGAAGGTGGATTGCTTGTTTATGCCAAAGCCTTCGAATCCGAATTTTCTCTTCGACATCTTTGGAAATTGGTCAGCTTCTGTTACAGTGACGAAAACCCTAAATTGAATTTTTCAGAAAAAGAGAGAGAGAGAGAGATTGAAATTGATAAACCCTAACGTGTAGGGTTTGGAATCGGTTGGGGGTTTGAGCAGTGAGGAGATAAAAGGAGGGAAGAGAGCGGGTGTAAGGAGAAGTAGTGAGGCGGAGGGAGGCAACGGCCGCCGATTATCAAATGAGATTTGGGAGGGACCGGATGCCGTGGGATAGTTCGGGTCGGGTGCTGATTGGATCCCCTCTCTCTTTGGGTTCTTTTATGTCGTTGGGCTATGTTGGGTAGGCCCAGTTTGTAGCAAACGGAAATAGAAATTTCAAGCGCACGCACTACAGTCCAAACTTTTTATTTAAAAAAAAAAATTACATTTACAAGGAATGCGCAATGAAATTTTTAGAAAATGAATAATAATATTCAATTATTGTTTTTCCAATCTTTTCTTTTTGGGATTATATTTTTTTTAATTTTGATATGTAAAGAAAAATGTAGAACTATGCACTTAATTACAAACTAAATCCTCAAGCACATGCAAAAATTCGTACCATAAAAATGTAAGCATTATGTGTAGTGGTGGAGCCAAAATTTTAGCTTAGAAGAGGCTCAAATGTCTCAATCTGAAACACTCTCCTTATCTTACAAAATTACTTTATTGTGTGGTGAACAACTGACTAACAACGTTCAGCTCTGGTATGGTATCGTCCTTATCATTCTATTCCTTAAACCAAACCCTAAGCCTCTCTAAATTTCTTCCTCTCTTCCTCGGCTAATCCCCAAACGAAAGTTCTCCTCATAGTTCACAAACAATGGATTGTCTGAACTCCATTAAAAAGACCATGATTGTCCTTAAAAATAGATTTATTCCTCTATGGAATCTCATAACGACCCATAATAGCTCTTCTTTCGCAAAAATACCCTCAACTCATAAGCTTTGCACTGAAAAATATCGAGGACATCTGGACAGCCCTCGTTTTAGTTTTGCTGCCCCTCTCGCTCTCTCAACTCTCCTTATGTATGTATGCTCTGTCAAATTAGGGCTACAAAAGCCCACAAATCATCATATATCTTAAATATAAATGTGTTGTACCTCTTTTACATGGATTAAATTCTTGTATGTATCTCAGTGCTCACCGATGAGAATGTCGATGTTCTCTTGAATCAAAGTCAATCATGTTATTGGTTGGACATTTTATAGTCTCTCTTTATGCAGTGTTTATTTTGTATTTGACAACATTGGTTATTGTAAAATATATTTGGTTTTTCCATTGGTATTATTTTAATATCTTCGTGCCACTTTGGTGTCGGTAGTTTCATCAATGGCTCAACATGGCATCGATATACCATCCATATTATTCACACTAAGTTTATATTCTGTTGTCACGAGATGTTAATATCATTTTTATTTTTTGTTAATATGGTGTCGTATTGTTGATTTGAGTTTTAACTTCAATTAGCAATCAAAACCCATAATACCCAAGTGAAGCAATCTTTAATAGTTCCCCACAAGTGAAAAATAGAGACAATAATGCATAAACCTAGAAAAAAAAATAGCACCGACATTTACACAAATTGACACTAATGGGACTAGTGGTGGAGGGGTTGCGGTGGGTTGGTTGTGTATGTGGAAAACAGGGTGAATTTATTTATAGTAGAGAGTGCAGCGAAGAGGAAGAGAACCAGTCGATACGACGGAAAGGGGTTCAAAGAGAAATGGTCAACAAATATGATATGGGGACTATTGATCTCCTCAATATTTTTCATCATGACAGTGTTTTAGTCATAATGGACTGGTAGTGATTGTATTTCGAGAGCAAGGCTGTTTCTACGTGTTTCCTCTAGATAACACAACCAACCATATAAGATTACGTTCTTATCTATGGTAAAAACACATTTTGTTGTGAAATATAGTGTGAATGCTGCACATACAAATGCATGAAGAAGCAAACCAACGTACCACTAAAATTGACTTTGGTGACAATAATTAAAAGCTTTGGGTGGAAAAGTCTTAGGGAGATGAAATTGTAACATGAGTGATGACTTTTCACTCATGCTATTGTTTCCTACGAGTGCAAGGCTTCCCTATATGAAGGGCGTTTGCAATGTAAAGATCGGACTAGAATTCTCTCATCTTCTCTTTCCATCCACTTCCATCCCCTCCTCTCACATTCTTTTATTTTGTCTTTTTTTTTGTTATAAAAAAATTAATATAAGATGTTGACGTGGTTTAATTGTGACCGTTCAAATAGGAGAGGAGGGAAGGGAAGGGAAAAAAGAGAGGAGAAAATCCTACTCCGTAAAGATCATCCCGTCTTTCTATCTGCCTATCTCAATAAACAATTTGTAACAATACTTTCTCTTACACAAAGATCAAAAGTAAAAAGTAATATAACCAATCTTCCTCCCCTCACTTTATCGGCATTTATTGTCTAGTATAGTTACACAAATAAATAATGTAATACATTATTCTCTCGTTCAACTTCGGTTTCGTTCTCCCTTACTTTAGCCTATTTATAACATATAGGCCTATTTTTAGCTAAGCCTCTTAGAATTTGATTTCACTTTGCTCCATGTAACTCAAAAGTCACCACTTTTACTCCATGAAACTCAAAGTTCGCCTCACTTTGCCTCTTGTAACTCGATTTTGATCCCATTTTGACCCTAAAACTTAAAAGTCGTCTCCATAAAACTCAAAATTCGCTCAACGTTACCTTAAATCTCTTAATTTCTTATGTGAGTTTGATTTGGGTGCGCCAGACTAATTAATTTTTTTTTTTCTTTTCATCTCTTCAATTTCTTTAAAATTTAATATTTTTGATGGTTGAATGTTTTTACTAGAAGATTATAATAAAATTAATTGCAAATGTGACATAGTCTTATTGAGTGTTGGTTCGTAAATATGTTTTAAGATGCGACCGTTCTGGGAGAAGAGAGACTCCACAAGTAAAAGTGGAACGAACTCTGAGCTTCAGATAATAAAATGATAACTTTTAAATGACAAAAGATAAAGTAAAATTAAAATAATGTTCCATAAAACTCGACTAAAAATAAGCTTAACGTATACACATTTGTCTAATTTTGCGAGTCCCTTCTCATAACATCACAAGGTTCATACTCGATGGGCGTGCATTCCCGCCACCCAATGTCCCAATCAACTTCTTCCTGCCCAGAGGAGACAACAACCCAGACGGCCTTTTTTTTACCGTTAATTTTGTTTGTTAACACTTTTTCCCCTAACAGTCAGCAGCCCACGTTAATAATGGATAAAAAGCAGGTGCGCCTCCCCATACCCAAAATATATAAAAAGAATGAAAAAAGAAAAGCAAAAAGCTTATGCAGCACTGATAACAGAGTGAACTCAACGACTCCTCCACCAAACAGTTAACCACTCTCTCTCTCTCCTCTCTCTCTCTCTCTCTCTCTCTCTCTCGTGAACTCAGCTCACTCTGTCCCAACGATTCAACTCGGCGATGGCGATTACGACTGCTCCGAGTTCACTTCTCCGAGTTCCCATCTTCACGACTTCTCCGCCGTTGGATCATCCTCGTTTGAGCTCTTTTAGGGATTGTTTCACCTCCTAGTATTGCTTCGTGTTCAAGGCTGTGCTCGTCAAGGGTGTGATCTCGCTTTTGGTTTCAGATCTGAATCGTTTCCTAGTAATCGAGGCGTCGGTGATGTCTGAGCTCACAGGTACTATCCCAACTGCTAATTCTATTTCTTTTAGGTCATTTTCGATTATCTCGGTGATTAGGTCAAGTGCTGAAGTGAGGACTCAGTTGAATAATTGATTAGTTGAAGCTTAATTGTTTTTTATTATTTTATATAATTGTCGTATATTTTATCGAATTTTCCATTACATTTTAGTAGTAGAAGGCGACGAGGGTATTCCTAGAGTGTAACTTTTGTAATTCTTTGTTTGGATGCCGAGAAAAGTAATGAAAACAAGGCTTAGTGTGCGTTTGCCCCTTCATAGAAAAGACATTCAATTAGGGCTCAGTTAGTGAGGGATGTTTTAATCTCTTCGTTCATTCCATTCTCAGTAAAATTTGCGTTAGTCAATTACAAGTTTAGAGCTTTTCGTATTCTGCGAGCATGAGTTGTTTATTGATAGGTGCATTTAAACTCTATTTTGGAATGAACAATGCAGGAATATTGAACAAGGTTCAATGGTTGGTGATGAATCAATTGCTTTTGTTCTGTTATGTGATATCCGTCACTGAAGCCAGTGAAACCTATGGTTTACTCAAAGCACCATCAGTATCTCTATCGAGTGCACCTTTGGCTGCACCAGCTATGCCAAATCTTCCCCTGCCAGCCACTTTGCCAGTGTCCCACTACCATAGACGCTGGCAAAAACATTTCTTGCCACATGCTGCGTCAGTTGCTCTATCTCCCGCACACCCTCCTTTTTATGGACCCTTGATAACTGCTGGTCACCCCCCTACAGCTTCTCGATTGTCAAAGCCATCAATGAAGAGGAGTGGCTTGGCACCTCCACTTGCTAGCTTTAAGAATATCGCCCCAACACAGTCGAGTGCTGGTACAATTCCTTCTGGTTTAGCACAGCCCCCGCTCACTCCTTCCATTTCCAGTAAGTTACACTCTGGACTGCAATCTTATACCCCCCCCCCCCTCCCTCTCTCTCTCTCCCTCTCTCTGTCTGCAAATTCAGTCATTTTAGATCACTACTTTACCATGAAGAAGTGATATAATCACTAATATGCTTGACACGCACACATACAGACATATAGTGCCCTTCTCATAAGGGATCCATAGTTCTAAGAACAGTAAGGGACCACATTCAATCTGCTGCAATTATTCCATGATTTCAGCTGTCCATATGTTTTATGGCTTCCTTCAATGATCATCCATACTAAAATGAGCAAAATAAAAAATGATTGGACGACTGATTACCATCATGATAATTTTGGTTTGTGTATTTTTTTTTTTTTAAATCACTGTAAACATGGCTTAAATGGTATCTGATTTGGCTAATTTTTTTGTAAGAATGATCCTTAAATGAGGCCTTAAAAAAATAGACCAGGTTATTAAATTGAATTACAGGATCACATTGAGAGTGTGCCGCACATGTGGTCCTTTTCTTTTCTTAGAAATGGGGATGTGCTTGCGTGTGTAGAGTAGACTGTTTCAAGTGTTTTGGAGTGGTGTGGAATCTGGCCAAGAAAC